TCCTTTCAAGTTTGCTCACTCAACCAGTTTTATCTGATGGTTCAACGTTTCCAGTTGAACATGTTCAACATTCATTTTTACTTTACACTGAAAAGACAATGAAACAAGAGGAAAAGGTTAAATTGATTATTCTCCATAGATTACTGTTGGTTTAATTTGTGATAAAAAATCAATTTAATAAACATTCGCGTTTAATAGTTCATTGATCTGCATCTGCTGGTTTCCCTTAAGAGTTCAATAATTGTTGACACGTACCATCGAGATCAAGGGTTCAGTTGTGTTGAATGGCTCATCAGCATCATGATTAGTTTTGTTCATTAAACTCACAGACGACCCATAATATAGTGTCTTCTAGGGTTGGCGAAGAAAAGATTGACATCAAGATGAATAGTTTAAAGGTCGTCTTCCAGAAGCTCATGCAGCAGCACTTGAATCACTTCGGTTACTATGAGTGTTGCTTGATGAGAACTGATGTCTCGAGAAATTACTTCAATATGTTCATCTCCTGTATACATTATTAGTGCATTGATATGGAAATAGACTGGGAAGGAACATGGAGTGATGCTAGGAGTGTAACTGGGAGTGAAATTCGGAGTGAAGCAGGGAGTGAGGCTCGGAGTAAATAATATCAAACTGGGAGTTCGCTTAGTTGGGAGTTAGAATAAGAAACAAGCCAATGACTGGCATGAAACTGCCGAACCTTGCAAGTGAACAGAGAGACGGAATTCTGATCCCAAAGTCTTTACATTTTCAGTCATAAGACTTGCATCAGTTTCATTCTTGCATATGCATAGTTTATGATAGTTTTAGGTTTCTGATCAATCAATAATTTCGAATTTTGATTTTGAATTTATTCGATTTCAATGGCGTTTTCATGACCATGACACTGAACCAAAGGATACAATATTTTCCTTTCTGATTGAGTTTCTTGTATATCCTTCAGTTGGTTGACCTCCAAACCCAGCTGGCTATCAAAACTGATCATGGAAAAAGATTTAGAAGCAAAATTTTTCCCATTGAATTCAATGTCTGATTGATTGTTTGCTTTCAAATAAACTAAACAATGAAATAATGGAAAATGTTGATAAACTGAACATTGAATGTAATGATGAAAAACAAAGGCAATAACCATTGAAGATTAATTACATGACTGATAACATGATTAACACTCATTCAAACTCAAGTATTACAGTTATCACAAGAATCCAAACGATAAAAGTAAAGCGAAGTTGAACATTTCAACAAAACCCTTTTGCAACTGTAAATAAACTATTGCGACAGTTTTCCTCTTTTCTCTTTCAAACCCTTTATTCCAAGTAAATTTACATGGTAATATTACATGAGATGAACAGGGAAGTGAATGAAATTAGTTAATTATCCATTAGGGGATTTACTTTGGTAAATTTAATAAACATTAATCAAAAAACAAAGGCAAGGATTAACTTGGAAGGAAAATCAAATGAGAATTTAAACCAAAGCTAAATCTAGTTTCTGATTAAAGTTCTTGTTTCGATATAAAAGTTAATTGCAAGTTAATTGATTGCCAGTTTTGCTCATGTGAGAAGAAAAATTTTCACGAAATCAGTCAAAAGGGAAAACTTGAAAATCTCTTCAAATTTTTTCGTTTCAAGAGTGAAAATGTTCAATCAAATGTTGCGATATTTTGTAACCTTTCAATTGTTAATATCATTTGTAAATGTTGTTTGAGGGCAAAAAATGTGTTCACTGTTATACACTCAACATTGACAATTCAGTTAAATGTTAATTTAATCAAGTTAAGTAACTCAATTTGGTGTTTCTCTTTTCATTGAGAAAACCAAATAACTATCTGAATAGTTAATTCAATTGATGGTTCAATCAAAAGTAATTGATTCATTTGTTGATTCAAGATTCTCATTAGTCATTATTCAGAAGCAAATCTTCATTGGAAAAAAAGAACTGAAAAGATGTAAATTTAAAGTCACTTTTTACTTCACTGATAACTTTAAGTGTTGATTTATGAGGAAACTCGAGTCAAAGAAAAGAACTTGAAAAAAAAGAAAATCTCGATTCTATTTGAGTTGCAATTTTGGCTTTTCTAGTTTCTCTTGGAATCTGGCGAAATTAAAATTTTTGCTGAATCTGTTGATGAAATTCCTTAATGAGTTGCTTGCAGCTTTTGTTAGACTAAACTCACTTTAATTGTCATTACATTAGACAATGAGAGAAAAGGCTTATGTAAACATGGAAAACTCTGAATGATGAACAGAATGATAATCGATAAAAGCGAATGTAAAGTAGAGTGTTGAGAGTGTTCAAGTCGTTTTGTTTTATCCACTTTTCGATTGAAGTGAAAATTATCATGAAAATTATTTTACAAGCCAATTAATTTATCTTGGTAATTGTCATCATTGGAAAATGTTGCTGAAATGTGAGTTGAGTTCAATCAAGAGAATTGAAGGAAAACACAGAGTTGGATCATCATTATCATCACCATTATTGTCGTCTTCATGGTTTTGTTGTGTGTTGAATTGAATGCTTGAGATTAGTTGGAGAAAAAAGTAAAGAAAACGCAGAAACAACTAGCAGAGTGTAACAATGAAACAATCAGCAAATTGTTTTCCACTTTTATATTGACCTGTATTTAGTCAAGTTCATCATGAATTTTTTGCAACTCTTTTTTTCTCCATTTAATTTCATTTACTTTTCTCTTACATTTTTAGATCTTTTCTTTTCTTTCCCATTTGTCTCAATTAAAAGAAAGTTACAGTCCAAGAGCATCATTTACAACAATCAAATTATGCTGGACAATAAGGCAATAACCTTCTATTAATATCATCATTTTACGATCAAAGAAGCACATAAATATGCAAATTGATGGAAATTGATTGAATCATTTCGATGAAGAAAAGTATGTTACAGAAATGTGATTAACTTCAATTTGATCAAACATTTGTTTCCATTTTTCAAGTCATCTTTTCCTTCCTGCAAAATTGACAAAATTATATCAATAGCAATTGAATGGAAAAACTTCAAAAGATTTTATCTTTTCGAAGCTTTTCTGCAAAAATATCTTCTAAACTTGAATATCTTGATATTTCTTCAAAAATATTCTCATTCTTTTAATCACATTTAAAGTCGAATCTGATTTTGTAGAGAAGTTGATAAAATGATAAAAATTTTCATGTTACTTATTCAACCATCGAACATCATTTTATATTCAATTTTTCTTCTTTCAATAAGTTCTTCAAGAGAAAAATTAATCTCGATACTTTGATGGTCAACTTGAACTCGACTTAAATCTTCGAAAGATTTTATCAAAATTAGTCTATTCTTGAAGAGAGAATATTTGTATAAAGAAAATTCGTGAAATTGACTTATAAATCGTAAAAAGTAGAATGACAATCAATTAGTTGGGAGTGAATTTTGTGATATAATATTCACTCCCTGTCGACATGTTAATATGAATATAACACGAAAAAAGTTGATGTCGTGTTGAAGGGAAAACGTTTTCTCCTTAAACATTTCATGATGATTTTGGTGATTAGGGAAGAAATGTAAACAAATGGAAAAACTGTTTAACTTTAAACAAGATTTAAACATTGATTCTTCACACCCAACTCTATTCAAGTCAGTGTTCAACAATGAACATTTCAATTCGTCACTAATTTCTTGAATCGTTTGGCGACTCGAAAAAGGTTGATGAGTTTTGCCGTCATTTTCATCATCAACATTTTTCTCTACTTTTTCCTTCTCCTACTCATGACAAGTCTTTTGGTTGGAATGAAGAATCACTCAACACCCATTTAAAATGAATATTTTATTGAGCAAACATGTTCAACTTCATTCTTCCCTGACTAAGCTGCTCTTGACAATACAATCAATCTCAGCTTCTACTCTTTCATCATCACCTTCATCTTCATCCTCCTCTTTCCCTTAACCAACAAACTCAACTAAACTTTTGCCTTTTAATTTCATTTCTTAACTACTTTTTACTCTCTTTTCCCTGTTTTCGCCAACCTCGACTTGGAACTTTTTTTCCTTCTCATTCTTTGCTGGAAATATTTCTCACTAATTTGATAAAAACTAGCAAATGAAGTTGATTCATTGGTTGGAACAAAGAATTTTGGAGAAAACTCTTTTTTTCTTGTTAAACTCTTCAACTTGTAATTACGATATTTTGATGTTATTGAGTCGACTTTTTTTGTCACCATTTTTCATGATGAATAAATGGCCTTTGATTTCAATTGCTAAAGAGAAATTAATTTTACTCAAAGTTTGCCATTTATCATCAAGTTTGCACTTTCTTATGGATCGAAAGGAAATTAAAAGTGAGAATTAATTTTCCTTGGAAATTCCTTCATCCAGGTTGACGGCAACACTGACTAACAATTGACCATCATTTAGATATTAATCAAATGGTTAATGAACCTTTCAGCACAAAGTATAGTCAAACTCGACGTGAACTGAATGATAACATAAATAGTCAAAGTAAACTTTAGAATTGCTTTTTTTCGTTTTGGGAATTTTGTTCGCCAGCAAACACATTATCACATCTTTTTCTCGATAATTTTGCAATATAAACTTGACCCATTTTGCAGTTGATATTGAAGGAAAGCAAAACTATAATTTCATTCATTGTGTGATATCATCATTAAGAGTTGCGAATGAAAAGGTGTTGGAAAAGTTGAACAAAGAAAAGGAAAGGAAAAGAATAAATTGATACAAAAAGTTGCTTGATATTCATGAGATGATCCAAAGATGGAAGTTATAAAAGTAACAAAACGTTTCTGTTGAGCACAATTTACTCCAAGATTATGAGTTGACAGAAATTTCAAATTTCTTTAAATTGTTTTTCGCAAAAGTTATCAATTCGAAGCATTCTCTAAAACTTTCTTAAAAATTACTTCACACGATTGATAAATGCACTCAGAATTAGAACAATTACATTCCAATAACTCATCAGTGTTGATCAGTTTGCATTTTAAACTCGAAATTAACTTTTTCTCTTTTCTTTGCAGATCAACTTTTCAACGCAAATGAAACTTTGATTATAAAGTCGCCTTCAAAGCGATGTGATCAAGCTCATAGTGATTGTACCGTCCATTATTATTTTCAAAATGAAGCTCCAAACTCAATTGCAAGTAAGAAAAATGTTACTTCTTTTCATCATGATTCGAATTCATTCGTAAACACTTTATCGAAACATTACTTTTTTGTTCTTTTCTAATCCATTATTACATTGATTCGTTTCTCACTCTATTTCCCATTCCTAATCTCATATGGATTCCTATCATTTGCAATTCATTAAATGTTATTTATGATTCTTTGATAAACTAAATTTCCGGTTCCTTGGCCCATTTCCTTTTCTCTGTACCTTATCATGAGAAGAAGAAAAAGAGAAACGAAAAACTTTTTACGACTCAAAGCAGTTGCTAGCAAAAAAAACTTTGACCACATGAACATGTATCTACATAACACGATTACCATAATCACATTATTTATTCAAGTTCAATAAACTTTTTTTTCTTTCTTTTCTTTTTACTTTTCACCACATTATTAATAGTTAGTTGATTGAATCGTGGCAATGAATCTTTTCCATCATTTTTCTTATGAAACTTTTTCTCCTCCATTTTTCGTCCATTCTTCCAGGTGCACCAGTTATTGATCCGTTCAATTTTTCTCGTTACCTTGAAGAAGGGTCAAGAAGTAAAATACTTTGCACAGTAATTAAAGGTGATCCTCCGTTTACGATTAAATGGCTTAAAGATGGTAAACCGTTGCTCGACTCGAGTGAAGACGGTGTCTCAACCATAGCATTGGATGATTACTCAGTGGCCTTAGTATTTTCACGTGTAAAGCTCAATAATCGTGGCAACTACACTTGTCTAGTTTCGAATGGAGTTGCATCAACTAATCACACAGCACCAGCTTTTGTCCGAGGTAAGAACACAAACAAATGTCCAAGAACAAAATTGAAAGCAACAAAAAGAATCCAAAGTTTGAAAAAAATCCTTTTTCCATCTCGAAACCAACGACAATATTTGCAACCGAAATGCTTGCTAATCGATTCGAGATGGATTCATTAGTGTTTTGTTCTTAGCAACTTTTGAATCTCGTTTTAAATCAACTCTTTGATCAACTGTAAGTCGTTATCGAGTGAAATGGCAAGAAAAAATGAAAGTAAATGCAACCATCTTCATAATGGTTATAATTAAAGCTCTCGAGTTAATTATGTTTCAAACTTAATTGCCAACAGTTATCAGACTAATGGCCGTTCCAATCAATCTTGTCTTTTAGCGAAAGAAGACTTTTCATTTCAGATTCAACAAGAAGTTGCAAACGTAAAGGAGGGCAAAAAGCGTCAACGAAATGAGATAAACTTTTATTGTTACCATCAGTTAATGTTGCCTTTATATATTGTGTTTAATATCATTATCCAAGTTTATCAAACTTGAATAGAATTGAAATGGAGGAGAAAAGAGAAAAAATGAAATTATCTCGAGCTCATCAACTTTGAATGAACTTTTAGGCAACTCATTTGTTCAACTTTTTTTTCTCTTCTCTTCTTCGACTTTCAATAGTTTTTTTTCGCCTTCCTTTCAACTTTCAACAAGATTAATTCACCTGAAATGAGATTATTAAAAGTAAATTTTCGCTCAACAAATGTAACATTAAACACACTTGGAAAATAATTGATGCGAAATTTAATTTTTCACAATTTAATGTTTATTCGTCTTTGAAATTTTGTTAATCACAATCAATCGATCGATTGTTGCAATGGATAAAAGAGAAAGAAGTTGTTAAATATCCGGTTGACTGAGAAAAGAATCTTTTCTTGGATTATCTGATTCCATTGCCTGTTCATTTCAACGCTTTTCCATCACCATTCATTTCCACTTCTCATCATCTTCATCATAATTCTTTTTCCCATTTTTTCTCCTTCTTCTTCTTCTTTTCACTGGACATTTATTTTCACATGAAATAATTGTTGTTTGCAAATGTTGTCTCTTGTCCAGTGAAACAATGTTATTATCCCTTTCCATTAACATTGTAATCATTTTGTTCTGTTTTCTGAAATTTCTCCTCTCAAGCTCGACCAAGATGGACATTGGAACCAATGAACTCGGTTGGTGTAACCGGAAAAGATGTATTAATCCATTGTCAAGCTGATGGTTTTCCTGATCCAGTTATCCAATGGAAACGTGCCTCTGGTGATAACCTTTCAAGTCCATTCCAGTTGATCCAGTTTGACGGTCGATTCCGTCAATGGCCCAACAATACACTCGAAATTAAATCAACCGACAAATCAGATGCTGGTTATTACATGTGTTCAGCCTCAAATGGTATCGGACCCGGAATCAATACAATCATTGAACTGCAAATCCGATCTCCAGCTCATTTCAAAGAGGTAAAGTTGAACTCAAACTTTTCCAGAAAAAAACTTTTTTAACATTTCCTCTTCTCTTTGACTCAACGACTTACAAAAGTAATTGATGACAACTTGTCTAATACTGAAATGTTTTTCACTTGACTCGGGTTGCTGGTCAAAGCTTTTAATCAACTTGGAATCTTTGATCGCACAGGTTTGCCTTGAAAGGTGAAAATCGTAATGTTAATGAGTGATGAATAAGGTGAAACAATAATGTGGATAAAGGAATAATTGATTGACAAGAACTTCCGAACTTAGCGATTGAATAAGTTAAGCTGAGATTGTTAATTGAAAGAATGAAAGGGAAGGAAATGATAGCAAAGGAAAATGTATTATGATAATAATGGTGGATAACAGGGAATTGGAATAATGAGCAAGAATTAAGAGGCACAAATGAAAATCAATGTAAAAATGTAATCAGGAGAAGGGAAATTACGATAAGAATAACATTTTGACATGAATAAAGATTGGGATGGAAAAGGTAAATCCAGCTTGGAAAAGTGTCACATTTTCCTTCAGTAAATTCATCAACTTGACGAGTAAAATAATCTTGGTTTCAATCAAAGTTCCAACAAATGTTGTCCTAAATAGGAAAGTTAGTCATTATCGAGTAAACAGTTGGTTTCATTGTTTCCTAAAGAATGCTGAGAACGAATAAAGTTTTCTCTTTTTCCTTTTTTTCCAATGAAATTAATGAAAGACTTTTTTGCTCTGACTATTGTCCAGGAATTTAAAGTTGAAACGGTCCGTAAAGGTGGCCTTTTGGTAGTTCGTTGTGAAGCCTTAGGTGATAAACCATTGACCATTGATTGGAAAAAAGATGGTCAAGTGTTTAAAGTTTCATCCGATAAAAGGTACAGCGTCATTGAGACAATAACGGATTACGGTGTTATATCAGAGATTCGTGTTGGTGCCGCTGATCGAAGAGATTCAAGTCTATTCACCTGTACAGCAACCAATGGGTACGGGACTGACAAGACCAATATTCAAGCAATAGTTCAAGGTAAGCTTTCGATGCAAATTGATTGAAAGTTGAATGAAATTCGAAGCAAATTTTTAAACAGCTTTCTAAAAGTGTTTAAACGATCCAATTTATCGTCGCTTCCTTTCGCGATTGAATTTACTTCCAAACATGAAATCTTAACCTTTGAAGAAACGATAAGAGTCACATTCAACCAGATGTGAAGCTTTAGTTCAAGGTACAAACGAAAACTTGTGCTTAACAATTCGAGCGCCAATGCTTCATGGGATGAAATTCGAAATTCGATTGTTCGAATTTAAATTTCCGCTTCATGTACGTAGCTACTGGATCTTTGCACAGAACTCATCGGGAAAGTTAATTGGTTTTCTCATCGGTTAAGTTCAGTTTTCAGTTTCGAATGTTTTCTTTCTCTACTGAAAACTAAGAACTTTTGAAAATTTTCGAAACTCGATTTGATTTTTTTGAACTGAATTTTCCTCCGAAATGGTGCATAAAGTTGTGCCGTTTTGGAGTTTTTGATGATTTTGCAATTCAATTGTCGATTAAATTTTAATTTGTTATCCATTGCGAGCTGAAAGGTGAGAAAAATAGAGAAGCAAAAGTTTTTAGTTTCTGGAAAAGATGAACTCGAACTAATAAAAGTCGATCTTCTTTTGATTTATTCTTGATTTTCAATTCACTCCCAGGAACCCAACAGAGCAACACAAGGAATTTCATCAAATTATTAATAGATGCAATTGTTTTCTCGGTTAAACCAGAATGATGGAAATGAGTTAAGATTAATGTGATAAAGATGCAAATGATTGTAGCAAATCTGTTTAATAATCAGATTAAACATGAAACATTATTGCACATTCCCAAGACATTATCTTTTAACTTCATCTCATACTTTCACGTCCACCATTCAATAACATTAACATATTTTTCCTTCCCTGCTACTGGTAATGTTAATAAGGCAAACAGAAAAAAAGTATTAACATTGTAATGGTAATTGTATAATAATAATAGTAATCATGAAAGAGTGAAAAAATTAATTTCCACCCCGAGTTTTGGGTTGTTATCTGCAGATTGGTTTCAAGTCAATTTTTGACTAAATCATTGAAGCTCTTAATGAGCCTCTAAAAAATTGTCTATTCAAATGTTAATTTGACTCTTGAAGCATTTCCAAGCAAAGTGTGAACTGGACAGTTGAGGAAAGACGAAACTTGTTTTCAACATTATCAACTTATTAATTTGCCGACTCATTAACAGTTCATAATGTGCTATTCACTAATGAAACAATGATTATCCAAATTATGCTCTTTAAATCTAATTATCATTGCTCTTTAGACTGACAATTTTTCCCTTTATTCAACTGAAACTCTTCGTAGCCAATCAATTATTTAGCTCATTTAAATGAGAGTCAATTTGAATAACACAATTCAAAACCATTGACCAATATCACTGAATAATGAATCATCATATTCTTCATTCTTATTATATTTGATCGCCAAATCTCAGTGACAATTGTGAGCTTATACTCGATGAATATTTAGATATTTGAAAGTTAAAAATTGATACAAAACAAAAGTTAGCCTTTACTTGAATAGCAAGATTCTGAATAAAATCTTGAGAAACTATAAAATATTAATCTTCAGTAGATTGAACTAGCACTGAATAACCAAAACGAGTTTTCGTTTTTCGAATTGAAATGCTTTTTCACCTCAATATAAAACTTGATTTGAATTTTCGTTTTGTTGTTTCATAAATTCCATTGAAAGAATGCTTTTAAGATGGAAAAACGGTAGTTGATTCATTGTTTCATTTTTATTTACATTGAACATTTTGTTCATTTTGTTGCTAATTAGTGTCACCAAAAGACCAAAATTTTGAGGTTTAAACATTTTCTTGCAACTTCAACTTGACAGGAATTTGGAGTTTAAAATTCTCGAGTTAATATTGTCTCAAAATGTACACACGATGACTTGCGGAATTTCACTATTGAATCAACATCAATCTGATAGAGTTTAATTTACAAACTTTTCATCAACTTCATCAAACTTGGAACTTTTGCCTTTTCGAATGGGCTCATTTGAGCTTATTTTGGTCCATCTTTAAGCAAGTCTTTTCCAAGTGATTTTTAATTCTTTTCATTTTCTGTTCTCTCAACATGATTGACACTCAGTGTCGCTAATGAATGCATTACCAGTTTTGCATGAAATGAGAAGAGTCGCTTCACATGGTTTCCTTGATTATTAAATTATGATCTCGTCAACATTGCATTTTGATGAAAGAAATTTAAATTTTCTTCTCCATTCCTAAGTAATACAAATCATATATTAATGTATTCCAGTATAATCATTGGAATACAATATGCAGAGTTTTGTATTCTTTTCATGGAAACTTGTTGGCAAAACATGTATTGATGGAATGAATCATCATCATGAGCATTGAAAATTGCTTTTTGTTAAACATTTTCTTTTCTTCTAATGCAATTTTCTTTCCAAAAACAAGATCAATTAATTGAATATTTGAAAGCCAATATGATTCCATGAGCAAAAAAGCATTTTTCTCTCCTTCATTTTACTCCAAGTTGGATTATCACAAACAGCAAACTAGGTTACCAGCTCAGCCTTTTGGTTACATGTAAACATGTTGCCAAACACACTTAATTTGATAGGAAAATTATTCAATCAATAATCTGGGTAAAAATTGAATATTTTATCGAAATGAAAAGTTCCAGATATCAAGAAAATCTAATTGAAATTATACAACAGTTATGGAAAAGTGCAACAAAAGATGAAAAACAGAGGTCGAATCAAGCAAAGTGTATTAACAACTTGAGTAAAAAAAAGTTGAATGTTGCTCTTTATGCAACCATTTCTTGTTCACCAAATGTTGAGCAAAGATAAAGCTTTAAAGTTTTTGTTTCAAGTCGACAGTAAAAACTAGAGCAAACCAAACAAATTGTTTATCGGTTGAAATTGAACCTCTTTGGTTTGACCATTTCACCAAAGTCTTTAATCTGATTGATTGAAGAGACAAAAATTAGGCCAACTTGGTCAAAGTAGAGAAAGGGAAGAGACAAAAGAAGAAGAGAGAAAAAAATGTTCAACATTTGATGGTCAAACAAAATTTCATTTCAGTGAAAGGTTTGATCAGAAGGGAAGAACAAATTTCTTTGCTCTATTTTCCTCTCAACTTTTAACCCTCTTCCATTTGCCACCTTCTCATCATCATCATCATCTCCTCCCTTCTTATTATCACATCATCTGAAAGGGCGTTCAGTTCCAACTCTATTCTAAGATGGTTCAATTTTAATCTTTATTACAATTTCTTTCACCAGAATAAATCTGAATTTTTCGATTTTTTTCTTCTCCAAACGAGTTTTCATTTCAGATGCAAACCTTTTAATTTGGGTTTCCCATTCTTTTCTGTTCACTTGTAACTTTACTTTTTTGCTCGCTTTGGGTTCGTTCGAGATTCCAGAGACGAATTGAAAATTGAAAAGATTGGACTGTCAGGCTTGAGTCAACATTAAATGGATTAGTTTGGTTCGTCAGCTTAATCTTTTCACTCATTGTACAAAGGATAAGAAGAGAAGGAGAAAAAACACTTTTCATTTTATTTATCATTGCTGGAGTATTTAACCATTTGTACTCCCAGTTATCACTATTATCACTCCATCATTGTCACGACAACATTAAAAAGAGATAATTATTTCTTTTCACTTTTCTCGCGATTCCCTTTTTTCCTTTACCATCCAAATGTTATCACAAGTTTATCATTACAAATATCATTATTATTATCTAATTAACTCATTACATTTTCCTGATCATTTTCCATTCCTAACTGTTAATCTACTTTTCATCAATTTCACTCTTGAAATGCACTTTAAAGAGGTTAAAAATGTTGGAAGAAGAAGAAGAAAAAATGCAATTAATTTAAAAACATTAAATTAAAACTTATTAAGTTTTCCATTTGATAAGATTAATCAATTTAAATATGAATAGACTTTTCCTTTAAAACCTTTACAAATTCACTGCAAGATGTCAAAGACCAGCTAGTTAAGCTCAAAGTTCAAGTAATAAAGGAATGGAAAAAAATTCAATTCAATCGATAAAAGAGTCAGAAAAGTGGAAAAAAGAGTTTTAATCATGAATTTGCCTTTCATGAAAAAATTCAGTTAATTGAAATAAAGAAAAGTTAAAAATCGAAAAAAAAAGTTTTTCGATTTTCTGTGCAAAAGAAGAGTTTAATCTGGTTCAACATGTTTAAATGAACAAGTGTAAAGTTTTGCCAATGAATGGCGAAAAGATTAAGATGAAATTAAAGAAAGCTGACGAGGAAAGAAGATGAAGGTTAAAATACTCAATTGGCGTTGATTAGTTTGCACGAAACTTGAAACAATTGAAAGATCATCCAAGCAAAATAATGGATCCTTAAGTGATCAATTGATGATGATGAGAATGATGAGTAAAGTGGGTAAAACTGGGACAGAAGAAGCAGTGGAAAGATGGTGAAAAAGAAGAAGATAAATTTTTGTTAAAGGACAATTGAAGCAAAGCAATCTGTCTTAAGGATTGAACGTGGTCTGAAAGAGTAACGTTTCAATCCAATGTTTTTGTAAATACAGAGAGAGAGAGAGAGAGAGAGAGAAAGAGAGAGAGAGAGAGAGAGAGAGAGAGGGAGAGAAGATGAGGAAAAACTCGAGACTGAACTTTTCTTCATCAACTGAAGATAGTTTATTTTAACTGATCGATTGGAAAACATGTTCAATCTAGTTATATCAATCTTTTACTTGCATCATTATCATTACGTTCATCTCTTCATTGCTTCATTTTTACCCTTCAAATGCTTTTTTTCCTTTGTTGCCTTTACCCTGAACACAAGATGCATTTGAATGGCAAGGAAAAGACAAAAATATGAAATCACTTGTTTAACCTCATTGACACTCTAACAAGCTCATCAACCTTGTTTCTTCATGGTTGATACATTTTTTTTCCGAGTAAACAATTTTTTCCATTCTTTTGCTTTACAACATTCAACCTTTGTCAATTTAATCTTCATCTTTATTCTCTCATTTAGCTATTAGAAAATCATTTATCCATCTTGCATGCATTATATTTACATGACATTTTGGGTTCATTTTTGTTCGCCCTACATTTTGTCATTTCTCTTTCTTCAAGCTTCAAATCTTTTTCCACATCAAACATCTTATCATAACACATCTTGACTGATGCCAGATGAAGAGTGAAAGTTGTGCACAAAAGTGTTTACCTCACGGTTGTGCTTTCCTTATTGTTTAGGGTCTCACTGTTGATTTAACGTTTTTTTTTTCTCTTCGTTTTTTTTGCTTCACTTTTCGCTTCAGAAAAACCTGATCCTCCGAGCAAAGCAGTTATAACCAAAGTTGAAAGTCGAGACATATCATTGTCATGGTCTCCACCTTATGCAGGAAATAGTCTTATACTTCATTATGTCATTGAATACAAAGAGGTAACTGGAGACTGGAAAACTGATCGTAAGCTACTTCGTGTTCCTGGTACAGAGACTAGGGCTACTATTGGAAACTTGTGGCCAGACACTTCGTACCATCTCCGGATATTGGCTGAAAATGTACTTGGAACAAGTGAACCTGGACCAGTTCTCCATGCAATCACTGAATTAGAAGGTAAACCATGCTAACCTCCGGTCATTAATTTTTTCGCCTCTTCATCATTTCTTTTCTCATTTTACTCTTTAATACCTTGTTCATTTCTCTTCCCCATCACCATTCTTTATCTTTACCAATTCTCATCATTATCCTCATCTCTATACATTTGTTTTCATTTCAAAACTCATTCTTCAACTGCATTCCTCTTTTCATTCCATCATTCCTAGTCATTAATCGTAAACACAATAAGAAATGAATAAACTCTAAATGAAGCGCAAGAAAAACGATGGTTAATACAATTAACAAATAGTTCAAAGCTCATCCATCATTTTTCACAATAATTCAACTCTTAATATTATCATCGTCATTTATTTGTACAATTTTTACATGCTTTTCATGTCATTTACTTCAATACAAAATTACTTCAACTTGTTGACAAATGAAAGATGAAAAGAGAGAATTTTTTTGGGCCAAAAATTTCTGTACAAAAAAAGCTGACTGCAACTCTGACTGAACCATTTTTTTTCTAATTTCCAGTTCCATCCGAGTATCCATCAGATGTTCGCGCTGAACCTTTTGGCTCAAAATCCATCAAAGTCAAATGGAGGCCACCGAAGTCAATGAGAGGCCGCAATCGGATAAAAGGCTATTATGTTGGCTATAAACCAGCCAATCCAGAGAAAACATTTATCTTTAAAACGATGGAAGTTGATGATCAAAGTGGACCTTATCAGTTAATGTTGAACAATTTAACTCCACTTACAAGGTACATCATTATAGTTAAAGCCTTTAATCGGAAAGGAGCCGGACCAGCAAGTCCAGAGATTTCAGTGAAAACCAACGATTTAGGTGAGATTAGTTTAAACCAAAGTATTATTGCTTCTCGAAATGCAAGTCATGTTACAAAAGAAAATGTTTAAGACGAAAAAAGGTAAATGATAAACTAAATTTACATTTATTTAGATTCCCCAAAAGCTCCTAGACTAGAAGTGCTGGCAACGGGGCACAACTCAATTTCAATAAAGTGGGACTTGAGTGATCCAAACTCGAACATTTTAGGCAAGTTTTTTTGCATTAATCGAAATAACTTTCGAATTTGACTTTTTTCAACATTCAATTTACTCTTTCATTAGGTTATCGACTTTACATTAAGGAAGAAGATTCTTCTTGGACTGAATATCGAATTGATGGAGAGTTCAATTCTCACGTATTTGGTGATCTTTCATGTGGACGCAAGTATGAAATTTATGTGACTGGTTACAACGAAGCAGGGGCTGGTCAACCATCCAATTTGGTTAAAACCAAAACTCATGGTTCAGGTGAGGAAAAGAAAATTTGAAACAGAACATTATCAAAATTTTCACTCATTTAATGTCTTTCAAGCCTGTCAAAATTGTTTCCGAAAAAAAGTTGAAAAGGAAACGAAAAAAATTTATTATCTCACTACCGATGCTTATGGTGCATCAATATTTACTCTTTTCAAAATTTCCAAATTTCATGGCAAAGAAAAGTTCTATGAAAGCTAAGTAGCTTATTGTATGTGGGAAAACTATTCAAGTTGACTTTCCAGAGAAAATTTCAAGTCTTTATTTTAAAGAAACTAACGTTTAATCTGATTTACACAAATAATAACTGAACTTTATCACGAGCAACAGAATACAAGTTTTCAAAGTTTAACCTCAAAGTCGATAATCCAAAGTTTGGTTAGTTTGGACCGCAAGGAACCAAAAGGGTTGACCGTAAATAATGGAGGAAAAATGTTGATTTTCTTTATTAGTCAAGAAGCATAGAATTTTGCATATTTCATGAGATAAACTGATCAAGAATTGTGTCTAAATGAAACAAATGAACCAATGATTAAAGATAATAGATGAACATGCCTTTTCGCCTCCATGGCAGATATTTGTTTATCTATTTGCATTTAAGCTGATTATCTTTTCCAGAGCAAAGTAAGAATTGTTAATCTTGGCTAATAAGCATGTTGCATGGTATAAATCCAGATAAATAGATATTAGCAAGTTATTGTTCACAGGGTCACGTTGCTAATGTTGATTCCTATTCATTTGATTGGACTCATCAGAGAGTAAATTGAAAAATATTTGCTTTTCATTATTCAACAGGGAGAAGGAAAAGAATCTCAGATAATCCAGATCATGTGTTTGGACAAAATTAGTTTTACGGCTAACTTATCATTTTTTGGTATTACACAATACATTGAACATTAATGTAATTATTTTCGATAATAGTTAATTAATAAAATGTTAAATGACTACACTGGTCATAGTAAACAAACAATTTGTGATCGTAAAAAAAGCTAAGAGTTTGAATGTTTAAATATTGGATCAAAAATTAAGATACTATTGGAAAAGAAAAAATTGTTAAATAATTGAAAGTATAATCTTCAAGAGGAAATATAACCCAAGTCTGGTGAGATCAATGGTAAACTGGTATTTACTTGGGTTGTTGGTAGTCTTGAGCGTGGGTCGAGAAAATGCTTTGCCAAACAGTCAAAAAAAGAAACAAAACAAAATTAAATCAACTGATATGTTGATGAGCTCAACCAGGAACAAGTTGATGATCGACAAATGGGGTTGACACCTGGACTTAGAGGTGTTAATAAGAACATTTTTTCATTTTACTCACTGTTTTACTCATCAATAATAACAGCTTGGCCAATAATCTTGTTTACCGATGTTTTTGTCGTCTCATTACATATCAAATAACAAGTTTTGCTGCTTTATTTAGCTGATTAAATAATTGATTAACCTATGATTATTTTTCGTCGACGTTACATTCCAGAGAAGCTAAGAGTTGAAGGTTGCAAATGTTCAAATATGACATTTTATTGAGTGTCTAATGCGTATGATAGCTTTTATTTGATGAAAGCTCCATTTAAATTTGTTGTTGCATTAGAAGCTAGAGCTTATCAATAAAAATAAGGCCAATTGTAAAAACGGCGAGTTACTATGACGGGATTCGGGTTTATTAAGTACCATTAGCTTGCTAAATGTATAAGGCTAACGAGGTACAATGATAACTAAATCAGTGTTTATCAATTGCAGATGGCAAGATGGTATCAAAGTGCAGTGGCATAAATGATTTGCTGAAATTGAATTTTGATGTTCAGGAAATTAGAATTCACCTTGAAAAGTAAAGAAATAGCCAATTTCCTTTCTCATTGGATTAGTCTGTAATTCATTTCATTTCCATCTTTTTTTCACCCAATTGTTAACATATTGAAAAGTATCAAGTTTATCAACCATTTTCATTGAAATAATGTTACCAAAATAAAACTTGATCTACTCTAGCAATGAAAAGAAACAAGAAAAGGCTGATAAAATTGGTAATCATTGCGATTTATGAAGAGATTTGCATTATTTTGAAAATAAAATGAAATAACATTTTTCATCTCAATTGTCACTTGAATTGAAAAAAATGTATCAGTAACATTATTACATGAAAAGTGTAAAGCAGATAAAGTTGGTAAAAGATTTAATTGTGACACTTTTATCCAGAAAAAAAAGTACAACGAAAGTTGAATGGAAAGAAGAAGGATAAACGAGAAATTTTGCTTCAAAAGGAAGACATTTATCATTAGTAACAATTATTGTAAAACATCATTAAAAGTAAATAATGTGAAGGAGAAATGAATCCAAGAGTAAATAAAAATCAGTTTACATGACAATTATTTACCAATTAAAGTGAACCAATTGAACTTGTTTCATCATGTGTAACTTTATAACTTAAATTCCCAGTTGAATTTCATCTTATTTACAGTAATTATCGTAATTATATTAATAATGGTAAACTGCGAAATAAAAGTGTTGCCCAAAAAAAAGAAACATGAAATGATTCATTTGAAACTGATGAATGAAACGAAAAGGCGAAAAACATTTGATGAAAAATTTATTGCAACATTATCGAAAGATTATCACAAAATGAGAACATTTAATGTTGATCATTATTGATTTTGATAATTGTGAACATTTGTTGCAATGTTGGAATCGAGAGAAGAAAGAAAAGCAAAAAAAAAGAATGAAAATTTATTGCATTTTCAGTCAATTTAGTTTCATTGCATTGGTCACTTTATCATGTTTTGCATTTCACTGAACCTTGCATTTCTCTCGTTGATAAAGTGTTCAAATGTTTGCTCGAACAAAACTCGACGTTATCCAATGTTACAAAATTTACTGTTTACTTCAATAATAACCTCAAGCTATTGCATTAATAACTCGAGCTTTTGTACAAAATGCTGAGACTTTCATTTCTCTCTGTAAATCTCAAACATGATCTACGATTGTAATAATATCATTCCATGTAACATGAATATTTAGTCCAATTGCAGTCCCTGGAGCCATTATTTGACCGAAATGTTCTTGATTAGTTTTTCCTTTTTTCATGGAATTTAAAGTTTCTTTCGGAAATGCTTTTGCCATTTCAAGTTTCCAAATGAATTTAAAAGTGTTTCCTTTTTTCTAATTGTTCAGTTGACTATTGATTAGTAAATGGATTAATCATGTTTTCCCAATTCATCAAGTGTTTTCCATTGAAATTGATATCAGCTTTGACTTTGTTGCACCTGAAAAGCTTTGAGTAAACATTGAGAATGACCATGTTTATCATGAAATTACGATAAATGAAAAAAGACTAAAGATGAAAAGGACAAAAGAACAAGAAAATTGTATTTCATTTCGAGTAAAAAACAAAGGTAACAAACTGATGACATTTAAAGGTAAATATTGTTTGCACAGTCGATCAGTTTCAACTTTAAATGACATCAAGATGAGCAAGGAAATTTAAAATGGATTTACCTTTGTTTAATGTTTCCTCGACTTTTTTGTTGGAAATTTGTTTTTACTTTAAAATGAAATCCAAGCTTTACTTTTTTTCCTTTACCTTTACATTTGTACTTCTCTTATTGCTATAATTTTTTCTCTACCTTTTGATGTACAAAATATTCAATTTTTACATTTTCTTTTTTTTCTCCTTTTCTTCTTTCCATTCTCATCATCTTTAATAGTTCCCAAAGCTCCATCAATCGCATCATTTATTCGAACCAATGGAACAGTCACAAATCTTCTTCTCAAGGAATGGGAAAGCGGCGGTTGTCCAATTAAGGACTTTAAAATTCAGTATAAAATGGATGGTTCGAGTGGATCAAATGGGTTGCCAAGTGGAACCTCGCTGAGCTCAATGAATGACTGGAAACAGTTGACTCAAACTGTATCGGGTGATGTCAAGTCACTTTTACTTCGTGATCTTATTCCAGATGCCTCTTATCGAATTCGCATTGTGGCTCGAAGTGATTCAGGAACCACTCAAGCCGAGTACAATTTTCTTACCTCAACAAACCGTGACTATGGTTCACCTCCGTCTGAACCTGGTTGGTCAATAAGTGATCATGATGTTGCCTGGATCAACATTATACTGTTTCCTTTGATTGCAGTTTCAGTCATTATTGGTTGCATTGTCATTCTCGTCTTTGGATTGAGAAAAAAACCTTTACCCAGAAAGCCAGGTAAAAATGGAAAAAAAATTTGATTAAATTGGCCAAAATTTCGTTGCCACAAACATGGTGAAATGTTGGAAAAAGTTTAATCCAAAATTTATTAGTTTCGTTTCTCATCTGTTGTATCAAGAGTACAATGGAAATGAATAACAATCTGAATCTTTTGAATCAAACAATTCAGTTTAAAATGAAACAGTCGACAGCTTTTGCCTTTACATTTACCATTTCAGTATCAATATGTTTATTTATATTGAATAGAAGAATTCAATTTTTAGACATTTTTCAAAAAAAAGTTCGCCATTCTTGCACTTGTTTTTTGTATTTCATGATTTCCTCTTTATTTGTCTCAGAACGTGTTTGCTCAATCAAGGAATCTATATCATACTCTGAAGAGCTTCCCATGTCGGAGATTTCAGTGAAACAATCACGAACAAATTTATATGATAAATCAAATGGTTTGGATGTGATTGGCAGTTTAGGTGGTCCGCTCGGCTCCAATACCAATGGACATGGGAATGTGGGAAAAGAGTGCCTTTATTGTCCTTCAATTTTAACACCTAATAGTGATCGATGTTCCGGTTCACTCAATTGTACGCAATACTCGACCAACTCTGTAAATACTTGTACAGATGATGGGTTTACACCATCAACCAACCACTATGGTAGAGCAAGGGAAGAGCAAACCTATGAAGTTCCCTTTTTACTGACCAAGGTATGCATTCATTGTGCTACTTACAGATGACTTTGTTTTGATCAACCTCAAAAACAAGGCCAACAGTTGAAGTTCAATAAAACTGTCGCGTTTGTACTAACATCAATATTTATTGTTTGTTGGCTGTTTATTGCAATTTTATGATCATTATTAGCTTAACATGCATTTAGAATTGGAAAAACATTTATCTTGTCTAATAAAAATCTATGAGTCTGAAGGATAGACACAAGAATTGGCCAATTATTGATTACAAAAACCATCAACTCAATGGTCAGGAGAAAATGAAATCAACAACATAATCCTTCACTTGTAGCGAAACTTTTGCTGCCATCTATTGAACTTCAACAGATAATTCATATTGAGGAGAAACTTTCGATTCTGATTATCATGCTTTTTACAATGTTTGTCTAATTCTCATGTTTCGTTTCTCTTTTTTTCGTCCAGCCTAAAACAAGCCACTTGTCAGGGCGCTATTCAACAACAAGCTCTGAACATCCATACAGCTATCCATGTAAATTCATTCGTACATCCGAAGATTGATACAGAAAGAGAAATGGATACAGAAAATGAATGAAGGCAAGCCTCAGTAAAAGTTTCTTGTCTTACTTTTACAAAGTTTGCTTTCTGGATGGTTTTAAGTTGAAAAACAATGAGCCTGATAATTTCGAATAGGAATAACATTCACTTTACAAGCTGGTGCAAATGGATAATGGATCGTCTCAATGATTCGCAAGATCGTGTCTATTCATATCGAAATATTGTTTGCAAATTACCTTTTTTTATACCTGATAAGTTGAAAATTTGGCCTTAACATAAATGCTGCAAATAATGTTCATTTTAAATTACCTTTTTCTATTGCATTATGATTGTGATAAAGTTGTGAATAAAATCAAAATTAATAAAAGATTATTATAAAATCAATAATCAAGATATTAATGCCGGAATATAGCTATAAAAGCATTCAATTATCGTGAATATGATCGAATATTAGGAACCAAAAGCAAAATGGAATATTTTTTAATTTCGGAAATGAGTAAAATTTTCTTTATCAATACTTGTTGGTTGCCATAGAATCTTAACCAAGAAACAAACTTGTCCAAAGGAGGATCTGCAAATGAATAGGGATAATCGCCTCTTGGAATATTTTTATGAATCGAACTTTTATGATGTAACTTTTTATGCACATTCCGAATATTTGTTTCGTTTTTTAGTACAACTATGCGTTCAGAAGAAAATTCCTATTCTCCTGTCATCTGCGCTTCTGATTAACAATAATGAATCGTAGAATTTTGTCTACATGAGTGGTCGTAGCGTGGAAAGTTAAATGCAATCAAGATTCTTGATTTCTCATTAATTGTGTTTACTGTTGAATCTCTTTACACCATTCGCAGTGAAAAATTTTAACCAATTGTCAACATTCAAACCAAAAAATATTGTTTTATATTGTTAGTATCTCAGAAAATTCAATTAGGACTTTGAGCTGCGAACTTATAATTTTACAAGTTGAGGAAGCTTATGGTATAAGTCTGAAGTCTTTAGCATCAATTGTTCGTAAGTTAAGGCTAAACAGGTGTAAAATGAAGAAAAAAACACTTCATAAGACCGGAACTGAGAATGTTGATAACATGTTTTTTAACTCATTGTTTTACTCGTCAACGATAACAGCTTGGCAAATAAGCTTGTTTACCAATAGGTTTTTATCATCTCATTTTATATCAAATGACATGTTTAGTTGCTTTATTTAACTGATTAAATAATTCATTAACCTATGATTATTTTTCGTCAAAGTTACATGCAAGAGAAGCTAGGAGTTGAAGGTTACAAATGTTCAAATATGACATTTTATTAAGTATTAAACAAGTATGATAGCTTTTATGCTAGGAATGTAGTTTAATCTTGAGGATCAGAAACAGGTCGAAACGAAACAGGTCAAGTTATGGAACTTTACTTTATGACTTTGTATGAAAATAATCTTTTCCATAAAAAACGATCCAGAATTTTTTGACGAAAACATGTCAATTTGTTAACTAATTTTGTCTTATTAGGCGCTAAGACTTATCAATAAAAATAAGGCCAATTGCAAAACAGGCGAGTTACCACGCATATGAAAAAAGCAAATGTTAGCTCATATGTTAGTCGATAGCAAAAAAGACTATTTTGCATTAATACGACCCTGAACTCGTCATTATCAATATTCATATATTCTTAGATTCAATCATTTGACAAAATACTGTCTATTAATATCGCCATATTATTTGCCAATTGGAATGAGTAATTTACATGTAACAAACATCAACCGATCTGAAATTTCAGCAACCGCACTTTCAGAAAATTACCTCCAAATATCAGTTGGAGGTCAGATAACGAAATGACCTTGAAAATCATAATCCATGGTTCTACAGGTTCGGGAGTTATAACTACAAACAGGTGTAAGTTTTAGCTGAATAGGCCGGTAGATATCATTTTGCACAATTTAATCTGCAAGTTCTTTCGTTCCCTAATATATTAAATTGTTTCCAATAAATTATTTTTGAACAGACTGTTGTAACCAAACAACCTGTAAGCAGGGGTTACAAGTCTATCGGTAATTTATAATAACAAATAATTATTTATTCATCAATGATGTTTGCTTGGATGATTAAACAATGCTAAAATCCGTCAGTGAAATGAGTATATAAGCTGATAGTTTTTTCTAAAATATACTAATTGCAAATACAAATTTTTGTGAAGTAATTAAGCAGTTTTAAATTATAATCATCCAGTCCCATCAAAATCAGTAAAAAGTGAAAATGAAATCTACACAAATCGCAACGTTCATCTTACTAATAGTAGTTGTTGCTAATTTTGGCTGTGTTATGACTGTCAACCCTACAGTATGCCAAAGCAACCAAGCTCAAAAACCCTCAGCAAACGAGCTTGATCAATTTGGTTTTAAACCTACATCAAATAATTTACCCGTACCAAATCCTATTCCTGCACCAGGTTCTGACCCCGAACCAAATCCTCAACCCTTACCAGGTTCTGAACCAGCACCAAATCCTATTCCTGCACCAGCTTCTGACCGCGAACCAAATCCTCAACCCTTACCAGATTCTGAACCAGCACCAAATCCTATTCCTGCACCAGCTTCTGACCGTGAACCAAATCCTCAACCCTTACCAGGTTCTGAACCAGCACCAATTCCTTTACTTGCACCGAATCCTTAATCCTCAACAGCCTCACAACCATAAATAAATTTTTGAATTTTATATCTAAAAATTTAAATTTTAAACAATTCAATAAATTCGAATCGCAAAATATTAAGGGTATCAAAAAGTTCTGTCGTTTTCTTACAAATCGCTGCAGTTTAAGCCAAGTCGTTTAAAGCCAATTGAATCGCTTAATTAAGCTATTTTTCTCATAATAATTGGTTAATATGCATATAAGATTTGTTAGGTACTTGCTAAGCCAACTCAATGTTTGTTTTGCGAATTTCATGTTATAGATAAAACGCTTACGGTATGCCAGATTCTGACTTTTTAATTAGATTGTTTTTGCAAGTAAAAATTCATTCTTTATCTTTCATTTGATACTATAAGACATCGCGACAAACATAGCGCGCGAATCAAAAAGTTTCTTTCCAATTCATTTTAAACAAGGTTTTTGCAAAAAATTGGGATTTCTATGAGAAAATTAATATTAAGAAATCAAAATCTTTCAATCCTGCATAGACAAAAATTATTGGATTCTCAATTTTTTATCATTCACTTTTTTCCAACTGTAGAATGAGCTAATGAACATTTAGATCGGTAGGTACCAACTTCGTGAAGTTCTCTTGCAAGTATGCTATGATAACCTAAGGTGAACCTAGAGCCATATCTATGCCTCATATCTGATACATATCTGTACTATTCTCAAGGAATGGGAAAGCGGCGGTTGTCCAATTAAGGACTTTAAAATTAAGTATAAAATGGATGGTTCGAGTGGATCAAATGGGTTGCCAAGTGGAACCTCGCTGAGTTCAATAAATGACTGAAAACAGTTGACTCAAACTGTATCGGGTGATGTCAAGTCACTTTTACTTCGTAATCTTATTCCAGATGCCTCTTATCGAATTCGCATTGTGGCTCGAAGTGATTCAGGAACCACTCAAGCCGAGTACAATTTTCTTACCTCAACAAACCGTGACTATGGTTCACCTCCGTCTGAACCTGGTTGGTCAATAAGTGATCAAGATTTTACCCTTAAGCTTTCCATGTCGGAGATTTCAGTGAAACAATCACGAACCAATTTATATGATAAACCAAATGGTTTGGATGCGGTTTACAGTTTAGGTGGTCTGCTTGCCTCCAATGCCAATGGACATGGGAATGTGGGAAAAGAGTGCCTTTATTGTCCTTCAATTTTAACACCTAATAGTGATTGATGTTCCGGTTCACTCAATTGTACCCAATACTCGACAAACTCTGTAAATACATGTACAGACGATGGGTTTACACCATCAACCAACCACTATGGTAGAGCGAAGGAAGAGCGAACCTATGAATTTCCCTTTCTACTGACCAAGGTATGAATTTAATAAAGCTACTAACAGATGACTTTAGATGCAATTTTTGTCGACGCGTTTTTTTTGGGTTCAAGTTTTGTTTTGACCATGCATCAAAAACAAGGGCAAAAATTGAAGTTCAATAAAACTTTCTAATAATTTGTAATAACATCAATACTCTTTTTTGTTGTCTTAATATTGCAATTTTATGATCATTATTAACTTAACATGCATTTAGAATTAGAAAAACAATTATCTTGTCTAATAAGTCTGTGAGTCTGAAGGATAGACACAAGAATTGGCCAATTATTGATTACAAAAACCATAAACTCAATGGTCAGGAGAAAATAGCATCAATAGCATAATCATTAACTTGTAGTGAAACTTTTGTTGCCATCTATTGATCTCAAACAGAAAACTCATACTTACTCATATACTCAACATCGCTAACACTCCGATTTTTGCTAGTGATCATCTGACCTAGTAAGTCGTAACTTCACTTTATTACGAACGGTTAGTGCTAAAGGCATTAAACTTGAACCATGAGCTTACGCAGATTGGACAGCCATAAGTTGTAACGCTCAAGGTAATTCAAGGTCAATTCTTTATTTGATCTCTAATTGACAACGTAATGTCATTTTTTGACACCACGAAATTTTTAGGTTAATGTTAGTCAAGTTTTCATAACTCTTACCATGGAGGCGTTAGATTAAATTTTCATAAAAGTACTGTAAAACTTTAGTTAATGCATAACTCGGTAAACGCATAAAAAGCTCCAGCTAATGTAGAATGTTGTAGCTTTGACACAGGATTCTATAAATCTTGAAGAAATTTCGATTACAGTGATCACTCAGAAAATGCACTACTGTGGAAATAGCTTATTCTCACTATTAAAAGAGCAAGTGTAGGTTTTTCAGCGTTTTATTCAAAAGGGTGAATGAAATCAAAGTTGTTTTGATCCATAAACTCATCAACAGTACAACAATTGCCATGCAGACTTTTTGAAAAATTAATAAGTGCTTTAAGCTCAGTTTGATCACAATTGTCTGAAACTAGATTAAGACTAGAAAATTCATTGTAACTTGAATGGCACCAACATGAAATGATTGTCTCGCTTGTTACCTGTTTCCAAGCTGCATTTTATGGCAGAGAGTAGAGGCAATTTTGAGATACATTTGGAAATATGTTCATCATTAATACTTTGAATTATTTGTTTATAAATATTTTGCTTTAAATGATTTTATAATTCCTCCATCCAGTGGGTAAGTGAATGATGCTGTGTTCGAGGGTAAAAATTTGAAAGTAATTAGAGGAAAGTCATTGTAATTGACTTTATGCCCACTGAAATTATCTAAAATGAAAACAATTTTTTTATCTTTGCTCATCAAATCATCATGTAGCTCAGCTAACCATCCCCAGAATAGATTCCGATCCATCCATGCATTTACTTGAGCTTTGTAAATATTGTTCAAACCGTTTAAACAATTAGCATAGAAACAACGAGGTGCGACAAATCGATTGACAACCAAAGGATTTAGTTTCTCTGCTGCTCGATTTACACAAAATAACATTGTGATTCTTTCTTTGAAAAGTCTATCTCCGATGTGCTCAGTTTTTGCGATGAAATATGTTTAACAGGAGCTTGTCTGCAAAATAATGCCGTTTTATCACAGTTGTGGATAAACTCTTTCTGCCAATCAATCATTATCCTCGGAATGTCAATGTTTCGCCAGTCATTCACTTTTTTTATATCAACTGATAATCTTTCACCATGTTTGGTTCCTAATTTTAATGCAACTCTTTCTTTAAATCTTTGAACCATCCCCATGAACCTTTAAAATTCTCATCAGTTGACTGCAATTTCGCAGATTCAATTATCAATCTAACTGTTGGTATTCCTTGGTTTGATAGCTTTAAAATATAATTTACTATTTTTCCTACTAAATCTTTCAATTGTTTCTGGTTCTAACCTAAAATAAAGTAAAAAAATAAAAGTAATTAGTCAACTTGAGCACTGCAATGGAAAGAAAATTTTGACTTACCTTGTCTTCCTATGTTTTCCATTTATATAGGCTTCACTAAGAGGCTCTTTCTTTGACAAAACTCTCTGTATTGTCCATCGAGATACTTTATATTTTTCACACAATTCAACATTTTGTAAATTATTATTTTTCCGATCTTCGATAAGAACAATTCTTTCTTTAATACTTAAATTAAGACCAAGGCATATTGACTAACTAAACCTACAACATGGTAACAAACATGTAAACAAAAGAAACAGAGGGACCATTTAAAAATTTATGTGCAGTTTCTGAGTGGTGCATTTTCTGAGTGATACTGTATACAGGGCTATTAAGCCTCATTTACTTCGCGTTTTATTCGATATCTAAAGATCTAAACATGCTAGGGTATTTATATTTCAACGGTGTGCTTTTGAGAATTGAAGAATAATTTTTCTGAAATTTCAAGGTCATGCTAACTTCAACTTCTCGGCCGAGGCATTATCAAGGCCTGCAAGGATAGATACAGTGATGAGTTGGTTAGCAAAAAGATGGACGAAAATTTCCTTCCTATTCACCAACAAACTGATCTCGTTGATTCACTCAAATTTATCAGTAAAAGTTGGTCAAATGTTTCAAGATCAACAATTGTAAACAGTTGGAGATCAGCAGGATTTAAGGTCGACTATCTTATTTTTTAAGAAAATTTTCATCGTTATTTACTGAATTCACAAAACATCGATTAGGCCTAGCTCGAGAAATACCGAATTCGCAAAATTTTTATAATTTGATCCCGAGATAGTTTTTCACTATTAGATATACAAAAGTTTTTGCCGAATTGAAAGTGATCTGAAGGCACTATTACTCTGAAAGTAACACTAGATATTTGTTGAACTCTAATTCTGTTTCTGCAGGAATTTCATTGTTCTTGCTAATCCAATTTCCTGATTAATTGGATCAGTTCAAGTTGTTGCAAACTTTTTGCAAATAGGTTATCTTAAAGATCTGAGATTTATTGAATATTGAATCTCAACAGTATACTCGACTCTCAACTTGCACGTCAAAACACTTGATAAGAGCCACCTGTGGTTGAAAATAATTTAATTAAACAAATTATATCAGCATCTAATACTTATTTTTACAAAAAAATAAGCGACATCTCCTATACCACCTAAGCAGACTGACTACCTTCGGTATTACTGATGATGAATAGCTTGAATAATTTCGGTTGATGAATAGCTAGTCAATATTGTTATGATGGCCCAGAAGCATATTCATGGCTCAAAACTTATGAACAGTAATATTTAATAGCTATTCATCAAATAGAGAAGAATCCTTTCTATACTTTTAGCTAAAATTTATTTCTATAAATGAAATCTTTAGTCCACATTGACAGAAATGAATAATTATTTTATGAATTCATTGAACAATCGATTCAAGCAGATATAATGATAATATTAAACTTTAGATGGCACCATACATTCAATTGTTGAATGTTACATCATTTTCAGATAAATTTGGCGCAAGTTCTGATTCAGTTCACAAAACAATTGCACAAAACCTGCTCAGTGTTAACAAAGATAATACCAATAAGGAAGAGATAGAATGAGAAAGAGATTAGTGAGAAACTTGGATGCATGAAAGAGAGCAAATGATGTTGATCTTTTCTCTCTTCTCTTTCTTTACTTATCCACTCAAGTTTGTTCATTGATACTTTATTTTCTGTTTTCATTCAATTTTGCTCACTTTTTATCGATTTTCCTCTCAGAAGCAACTTTTACTCGCTTCTTTTTCCCTCTCAATTTTGCACATTATCAGTTGGATGATAGAAAGAGAGAAAAAAGAGAATGAAAGAAGATAAATGTAGAGTGAGCAGTGAGGGAGTCTTGGTTGATCTGAAAGAGTGAGCATAAACAGTATACAACATTCACTGTCAATGGGTTACAAGTAACTTGTTCATTTCTCATTCATTTTTTGTATATTTTATGGTTATTTGTGAACCCGATTCATGTTATTATAGCAAAATTGTATCAAGTGTTAACAGTTTACACTCGAGAACTTAAACATCCTCATCATTGTCACACCATGAATGCTAAAGTTGGCGGTGGTATATCAACGCTTCCCTTTATCGCCCTCCTCAAGCCTTCACCATCTTCACGGTCAACCACTATGGTGGTACCCTCAGTGGGTGAAGCAGGCAGTCTAACTGGATTAACCTCATCAACATCAACCCCAGCCTCATCGATAACATCAACAACAAGTACAAGTCCAACAGCAACCCTCTTATCAACAACATTAACAACATCAACACCAAGTGTAACAGTAAATGATTCAAATTGTTTAACCAATAACCATCATCATCATCACCATCCTTACTCAAATAACCACCATTACCAACCCCACCACCATCATCACCATCATCATCTTCACTTTAACCAAGCCAACAACAATGTCATTACCAATGGTACCTCTCAATATTCAGGATCCCGCCTAACAGGTAACAACACTAGTTCATTTTCATCGTTTCCCTCGTTGTCCAATGGACTGACCCCATCAACCCCAGCCTCTACCACAATGGCAACTTCAACCGTCTCTTCAACCACATCATCATCACTATTGACCTCGGCAAGTTCAACTTCAATAGCCAATGGTTCATACAATACTCTGCCCGCTGGCCGTTATCGTCACTCGAAAAGTTCGAGTTCATTGTTTCAGAAAAGCTTATCAACGGAAACACCAACAGTTAAACTAATCAATGGCGATGTCAGAAAAGGTAACAACACAAGTGTCAACCACAACAACAACAACATTAACAATAGATTGACAAGTAAACAGTTGGGTGAAAGACAATATAAAGATGATGAAAAGAGTAAAAATGTTGATAAGATTAACGATAATTGTGACGATTTGAGTAAAGTCAATTTATCAATGAACAGTAAAAGCTCATCAAACATGGTAAACAGTCAATCAATGTATGAAACTGGATCAACATTTAATCAAAATGGATTAACAAGCTCAACCAATTTATTACCAGCAACAGTAAATTCAAGTGAAACACTAACAAATGGTAAACCTGAATCACCCAATTCCAATGTTAATTTGATTAATAGCAAAGCCTTAAATAATAATGTCAGCACCAACAACAACAATAGCAACAACAATGGCAACCTTAATGGTCACTCTGGTTCCAATTACCATTCATCAGCCTCATCATCTTGTCACACCAACAATTCAAATTCCTCACCCTTACAACATCACAACCCTCATCACAACCCACATCACCCTCAACCTCAACATCATAATCAAAGCTCACTGCCTCCATGTGAACAACCCAAAAGAGCTTTAAATTCAACCTCAACATTGACTCAACATTATTGTGAAAACAGTGGCACTTCATGGTCAGGCACAAGCAATCACACCACTACCAATGGAAACAATGGATTACCCAATGAACGGACTAATCACACACCAAAACTCGATCCATTTGGCATGAGACTTCCTCTCTCACCCAACGGTAAAACCCATTTCCTACTTGCTCTAGACACTCTAACCACTCACCAGCACACAAAAGCCAACAACTTTCAACTTAATCTTGATGATACATTTATCAGTGTTTACCGGAAAAAAAGCATGAATAGTGCATAATAATGCAAAGAATTAATCTTTTTTCGTTTCCTCACTCATCACCAGAATCTTGTTCAATAATATTGATGAAAAAAAAGTGCAAGAATGAAAAGATGAAGATTATGATGAACAGCAAAAAAATGGTTTAGACAGGAAATAAGGTAAAACAAGATTAATTGCATGCATCATCCAACGCCAACACTAAAGTTTATTCAAGATTATCATGTTTAAAGAGTAGCAATGCCAATGACTTTCAACAGCTGAAATTAAATTTTGCTCTTCTCTTTGCTCACGGCAAGAGTCGTGAGTCTTACCTGTATCTGAGGATGATGAGGATAATGAACAAAAAAAGAAACAAAAATTTCAACTAGTTTACATCCAAACGTGCCAGACACTAGTTTCGTTAGCAGCAGCGAACGTTACTCTTTCTCATTATTTTTACCGTTATTTCATTTTCCAACTTTACTCTCTTTTGTATCAATTATTAAATTGGCTTACCTTGAGAAGCTGAGGGTTTACCTTGAAAAAAAAGAGAGTAAAGACAAGAAGAAAAAGATAGTAAATTATCTTCTCATTTCCTGGGAATTGCGTGAGTAACAACTTTTGCCAGCAAACATGAGTAACCCAGTAATTTTTGAGCAACTTTTGTTTCTTTTCCCACTTTGACTGACGATTAATGCATCCTTTTATCACAAGAAAGCTGAGATTTTCCAATGAGAAAGGTTGACATGAACCAATGGTAATGTCGAGATTAGTCAACAATCAGTTGTAAAATGTTCATCTACAACTAAATTACTTTTTTTCTTCCTACAAATCAATCTGAATCAATTGACAGCAGTCAGATTCTGTCCAAAAAAGCTTCTATTTTAAGATTAAACTTTTCGGTTTGCTTTTTGTGACACTAAAGTAATGATTAAAAGTGGCGTAAAACTGTGCAAAAGGATCACTTGTTCAACTGGTTAGGGAAGCGATAAAGAGATTATTAAATGCTAACAAATTGGTTAAGAGTTGGGTTATGATATTAAATGAAAGCCACAAATGATGAACATTTTGATGCTTCTAATTGGTAATCATGTTTTCGTTGCCAATCAACCTTGTAAAACCTTGACGATTCCCAACCTTGAAGGCTTAAAGATTTGCAAGCAAAAAAGGTTGATCCTAAAGGTTGAACCAAATTCAAATGATTTAAAGCGTCACTCGTGTTAGCCATTTTTGATTGAAAATTGAGCTTTACCATCTTGCACTTCATCTCTTTAGCTTAGATAAATAAATGATTTTTGCTTGTTTTGCTCTTTACGTTGTCGACTCTATCAATTTGAGCAAGAAGGCCTTTTCACTCTTGCAAGCTTCTTTACGTCAAAAGTTAATCTCATCAAAGTAAACATGATATTAATATCCATTACAGAAAATATTGCAGAAAAAAGTGATTTCCTAAAAAAACAAAAAAATATTAGCTAATGAACCCATCAGATTAATCAGAGAAACGTGCATTTCCAAACATTGATTAGTTGAAAGAGTTGCTCTCACAGTTGAACAATTGTTCATTTTTTCAGATAATCTAAACATTTGCTTTTCCTCACTTCTAAATTGGATAATCTGTTTAATCAACTTTCACTGGCAAAGTCAATGACACCAACAGATTGTCATTGATGAATATTGCTCTTTCCATCACTTTATTCAATCGATAACTTTGAAAACAATTTTTTAAACACTTTTCATTGGAAATGTAAAAGGTTGAGAAAATAGTAAAACTTGAAATGGGAAAAGGAGCAAAATGAGAAGACAAAAGAGTCGGAAGGTTGAAGTAATTATGAAGGTGAACATTTGTTGTAAAGATTAGGTGAAAGAAAAGCTGAGTGTTTATTAATATTGCGATTGTTTTTATTTTTCCTTTTGCTCTCTGTTTTGGTGAATAAAGATAATGTTCATGTTGAACCCGGAAGAATTGACTTTACCTTAGTTTGTGCAAGTTTCCAACGGAACACAAATAAACACTAAACAACATTTATCAACATTTGCTAGACTTTTCTTTTTCTTCTTCTTTTCCCTTCAGTTGTTATTTACTTGTTTCAACCTCTTCTTGTTGTTATACAAAACTTGCATTATTATAATCTTACAAGTTGCTTAGGATCTATTAAAGGTTCATTTATTTGATTACCTGGAAAAAAGAGGGAACAGGGGAAGAAAAAAAAGTTGTTAACTGTTTTTCACCTGAAAAACAAAACTGTCATTTACTTGTTGCAACCAAGACGACAATGTTAACGGATAACTGTGTAAAGCCATTAGTTTAACAATCATTTTTACCTTCATTAACACACTCGGTTAGACTTTTGTGAAAACTTTTCTTCTTTTCTCCAAAATCTCATTTAATTACCTTTCAACCTTTCATCTTCTCATTAGTCGATATTTTGCTCAGATTTTCTTTATTCCATTGTCTTATTGAAGGTTAAGCTTTTCCATCTAATTATTAGCAATTACCTTATTACCTTTGCTTTAAATGTTTACTTGTATCATTGATTGGAAATTGCAAGATGAAAGAGAAAGAAAATTGTGATTAAATTACATGGAAATTTGTTTTCTTTCGATTCCATTACATTCATGTTTCTTTTTGTTGATTATCATTTAATGCTTCGAGTTTTACCTTTGCAAGTTATTCAATTTGCTCAATTTATCTCTAGCTTTTGTTTTTACTAAATTAGAGGAAAATTAAATTGCTAATGTTATTCAATTTTTGCAATAATTTGCTTTCGAAAAGTTCTGTTGATGGAATAAATTTTTGCCTGCAAATTCTTGATATTCACTGTTGCCTCGTTAATTTGCATTTCAATTCATTTTTTTCTTTCTCTCTCTTCATTATTAAGCGATAAACTTTCATAAACAGAAATCAACTTTTCCAATAATCAACTTTTCTATCCATTTATTAGCATCTAAACAAGTGTTGAGATAAAAGTTGTTCCAGTTGAGATTTGTTATTATTAGAATGTTCAATTTCCCCTGGAAAAGGCAACCAAAATTGAATAAATATTGATATTACTGGTTAAACTCATTACAGTTATGACGTTGCAACGAATCCCTTTTGACGTTCGAAGTGAAAGTTATACAAAGTTTTAATCAGCTAACAATCAATTAAAGACTATTGAACATGTTCACTTGATCCTCTTAATTAGTGTGATTTTCAAGCCCAAGATTAGCCAACCAATGAATTTTAATTTTGATAAATGATCGCTTTAAAAATAACTTGAATAAGTTCATTTTTCGCATCAAATGAAGTGAATCGTAAAAATTGATATTTCACTTTCATTTATCAAAACAAATTAATGCACGAAAAAGGTTCAACTTTGAGGGGAAGACTCAACAGGATAATCTCATGTTTAGAAATTGATAAACTGTTTCATTTCGATTACAATTGCTATTCATTTAATTCTGTAAATCCATTCTCATGAAATGAGTTATCCACATGAATTATGCTTTAATACCATCAAAATGGTAAACACGATTATTGGAACTTTTCCTGGAAAAAAGAGTTATAAACACTTTTCTTGCAACATTTTGTTCATTTGCTTATTCATATTGCAATCAACTTCAAGTTGTATAATTTCATGAGAGATTATCAGATCACTTGGTGGGTTCAGTTGCAAAGCAACCTTTTCACAAGAATAAGTTGAAATTTGAGAAGAAAATTTTGTTCGACTTTTTGCTAATTTTCTTTCTTACAATTTTGCAGAAGTCCTTCGATATTATGGACTAAGGATGAATGCTTTCGAGCGAGCTGAGGTAATGCATTATCCTGAGGTTTGGTATCTTGGTCTAGATGCAGCCAAGATTGATGGCGATGAAACTTGTGGACAGAATCATGGTTACGATGATGACAATGGCTCATACGTAAAGGTAATGAATATTGAAATTGAAAAGGAAACCAGTTTTCAATCGAAATTGGTCAAAGAGAAAAAAAGTTATCCTTGGCCGAAAACTGAGTCGACTTTACCAACTCGATTCAATTATTGAGATAAATGTTCAAACTCATTATCATCAGTAATAAGAAAAGGTTGAAAAAATTGACTTAACTCGATTTTAGTCGCTTTTTCATTTACTCAGTTATTTGCAAAGCATTAAATATCACTTTGATTTGTTTGACCATTTTGCTCATTCATTTGCTCTTGAATCGGCTAGATAGCCATTCAGTTGTTTATGTTGATTCGATTGCTGGTCAAGCGACCCAATTGTTAACATTTTCAATTTGCAATCAACTTGTTAGTAAAACAGTCGATTGTTGATCATGAAATGGTTCAACAATGGATGATGAACTGTGAAGATAAAGGTGGAAAGATTATTAGCCAAAAAAACTGATTTATTGCTACTTAACCATTATTAAACCATCAAATGATCCAAGAAACAAACAAACGAGAAAATGGATCGAGCTTGCAATCCAATTGTTCTGACATTAGTATACTTTTTTCATCTCTCTTTCTCTCTCTTTTCCTTTTGCTCTCTCTCTCTCTCTCTCTCTCTCTTGTCTTTCCTCATCATCATCTTTATCATCTAATTCAATTTCATTTCATTTTCCATCTTCTTTCTTGCTTTCGTTACTCGCAACTTATTCAAGTTAATACAATTTGACTTTGGTAACTCAAGTGAGAAAGTTATTTGGGCTTTTTTTTCCTTCACTTTTTTCTCCGTCTTCACATTCCCTCTCCTCCTCCTCATCATCATGGTTAGAGAACAGTTAATGTTTGTTTTTGTTGTCAACTGATTGAGGTCAAAAGAGAAATGAAATTGTTTCTGATTTACAATTTATAGAGTTTCCAATCTCATTTCATAGCATTTTACAATCACTTGCACACACTTGAATAGCTTTCAATTTGCAAATGTCCTTTTTTGATGCAAATAAAAAAAAACAATAACTAATACGAATTATAACGCAAGACGAAAAAGTGATGGAAATATTAATGCGAAAATTGATGGGAAAATATGAAAAATGTGCATTTCCAAGAAAAGCACATCAATTTAGGTTTGAATGATTGAAAAAAGATTATCTTGAAACTGGTCAATCAAATAAAATGATCATTCAGTTGAAGAAAAATCTGAAATTGCAAATATTCTATTGGAATATTGAAAAAATTGTCCAACTTGACCTGTGATAATTCAAACTAGCCTGAGACAATCAACTCGATAGCAACCTAAAGTATTCATAAGGCTACTCGAAGGTTTAGTTGATAAACTCCATTTCTGATGAAAATATCATGTTGTCAGATAAATTTAATTAAACTTAGATTAACCCAAGTTAGCCAATAAAGTCTTGAGCGCAAAAATTTGTCTCACTTAATCTCAACAAAATATCAGTTGGTAAAAAAGTCCAATAATGTTGTATTGGTCAACATCAATTAGTGTAATGTATTACCATCTAATAGTGTTGAACCAGTTTTCCGAGAAAAGCAACGATTCTACATTACTACGATTCGACCAAATGAGTAATTTGGTTCAATCATCACTAGTAAAACATTAGCTTTCCTTCATTTTGATCCTAACCTAACCCAACCTAACCTAACTCTAGATTTTGAATTTTCCGTTTTCTATCAATTAACATCGATACAATGATTTGACTTTAGTATCTCCAAGCTTTATCAGCTATGAAAACATAAAAAAGCTACTTGATCACATCTTATCAGCTCTAGTCATCAAATTAACCGACACTCTTAGTCAATCAGTCAGTCGATCTTATCAGTTTCTTGTCACAATAATAATGCAAAATAACCAGACAAGTTTCAACTTTGAGTCAACAAAAGCTGACTCAAAAAACCTTTAAACTTCGAGAGATTAAGGTTATGATTAATATTGCATGTTAAATGGCCATGTTAATCATGAGCACATTTTTTTTCTAATTCAACTCAAGTAAATTGAAAATTTTCTTTATGTAAAAATTCAACTTGCTCAGCATAATGCAAATGTAATATTTTTATTGAAAGAAAAACAAAATACTGAAAACCTTTTGAACACAAAGAAAATTAAGATTATCATTAGAGTAACGTTCATTGTTGCATTATCATGATTGCTTGATGTAAACAAGATGAAGCAAAACTACTAAATCTTCAAGACGAACAAAAAATATGAAAATTTTAGGGAAAAAATGAATTTCGTTTGAGCATCGTTAGCTGCAAACAAAGGCAAAAGAGTCAAAATGTTTCGGAAAGAAGTGGATAAAAATGGTTGCAAAGTCGACTTTATTCAACTTGAAAATATTAGTCATTAAATAACTTTTGTATATTTACTTATTGTTGATAAACTTTTTACAATTACTTTTGACCCACTTTTACTGTTGACTTTTTTCACTATCATTACTTTCCAATTATTGTTGTAATCAGTAGATCAAGATTATTGAACAGCAAGATTGCCGTTTGGAGAGAAAAGTTTTTTTTCGCTCTTTTTTCAAATTCAACTTGAACTAGATTCATTTACTCATTTAATCATTACCATGGTTATATCTTGCCATGAGTAACTTTTTTTCCTCGAGTTTCATCAAAACAGTGAACAACTTCCGTGATTATCTCACAAAGATTTGCTCATTCGCCATTTAGGGAACATTATCATGACAAATGTAAACATTTACCTGTTGGAATCAACTGCATGGTTGTTAAGAGATACAATTTGCTTTACCTTATTCCAATTTGCTCATCATCCACATCATGAGTAATCAAGTTGAAGAATCGTTAGTCTTTGGTTCAAGCATCTTGATGAAAGGATTTTAAAAGAAACTTTAATCAAAGAAAAAAACGAAAATCTTTTTTCATTCTCATTACCTTTCATGATGATGGGCAATGATTTTACTCATTCATTACTTTATTTGATGAAACTTGGCTCAAAGTCAATGTTGACAATGATTAACATCGAAACGAAAATTGTCACAAATTTCATCACACAATTCATCTGGATGAAAAAATTGTGCTTTAGCATCTGGGGAACAAAACTCATTTCATTTACTTGACCATGTTGGTTGAAATTCATGGTTAGAAGAAAAAAATTCAATTTTCTTTGAGTGAGAAAAGTTGGCAAAGTTTTTGTTGTCAAGTTGAAGGCCCATTCAGTCAGTGAAATTGGTGCAGCAAGTGTCATCCTCAAGTCACTCAAGTAACTCAATGATGAGCCTTTCACGGGCAACACTTTTCCATTCAATTTAACATGAAATGCTGTTGCAATGTTGCTCTTGAGTTTACTGATTATCTGAGCATTTGGGTCACCTTGACTTTTGTTACGGTTCAATTGCGTGTCAATGTTTCAACAATTTTTGGCCAAAATTGAAAAAGTCGCAAAAAACAACAACAAAAGCAAGACTTACAAGAGTCAACAAAGGAAAGAAAAGTAAGAAAATGAACATGAATTTGTTGAACATGAAATAATGTGAAAAATGAATTTTTACCCTGCAAGAAGCAAGGCATGCAGGAAACGATCAAGAAATGAGTTGATGAAAAAAGTAGGGAAAAAATTTGAAAACCATGAAAAGACCAAGAATACAATTGGAATCATTTTTTTGCAAAAAAAACCAAATCTTGCAACTTTCTCATTCTATAAGCAATTGTATTTCAAATTGAAAAGTTGACTTTGTCCTTAATGTGCTGTGCAAGGCTTCGAATATCTTTTTCTTGGTCATTTAAATGATTGCCATGATAATTGGTTTGTTTCATTGTTTGAGTAAAGGTAAAGGTTAAAAGTAAATTTGGTTTCAAATGAAACTTTCATTACCCAATCAATGGTAATGATTTTTTCTGTACATTTTCTGCCTTCTCAGTGTTGATCAAAAATTGAATAAGATGATGTGAGTTTCCCATCAAACTGAGATTGCTAATGTCATGTAAATACCAAATCAATGGATGAACCATCATCAAGGTAAACTTGATCATGATTGATTTACTTTCTTCTTTCAATCCTTTTTCATATCAATAATTTCTCATTTACCTTCATTTATCAAAACAAATGCCTTTCACTGACAATCGACTATTGATGCTAATAATAATTGACATTTAACGAAAAAATTTTCTTCTTTCTGTAAATAGAAGAGAAAATGTTGACAACATTTTCATTGAAAAACTGACCAAAAAAGCGAAAAAAAGTTCGACTAAATTTGGCTAATTATTCTTAACTGCTCATGGTTATGATGAACAATAACTGAATGATAATGAAAAGGTTCATTAAGTTTAGGCAAAGTCCAATGATATTGATTCAGTAAATGATGACATTATACTTTGAAAAATGAAGGGAAAATGATTGAAACATAGAATGATGAAAAGAGTGAAAAAAGTGAAAAAAGTTGGAGGAAATGATGGATTCCAAGTGGAAGCTGGATTGATGAAGAAAATATTGTTGAAAGTTGAATATGAAGAAGAAGGCGAAAGAAGACTTTTTATTGATTGCCCTTGAACTTTACCTCACTCATCCTTCTTCCCTCCTCCTTCATCTTTTCATCCTCCTCATCTTGCTACAGCGACAATCTATTGAACACAATTTTGCTCTTTCCTTCTGTTTCTCTTGTCTTTTCTTCCATCATCAACTTCATCAGATGATTCAACGGAAGAGAGCAAAAGAGTGGAAGAAAGTTAGGAAAATAAAGGGAAAGAAGAAGAACAAGTGAAAAATGAAGACAACGATAAACATGACAACAAAAAACACAAATTTACACTACGGATGCTCCTACAAAAGCAACCCATAATCATCACCATGAGCATGAGCTTGATGATGATCTTTACTGGCTCTTAGCATTTTCTTTCTACCAAAATGTTCCCTTTATTTTGTCTCTCAATACATTTTACTGTTACTGTTAGTTGCTCATCATTATCTCATGTTTAACCCAAACTGCTACTTTACTGATGGCTGATGTAACAGCGAAGCCATATGCTGAACAGTGAATTGAGATGAGCAAGGAAAAGAGATGGAAAAGAAGGGAAACTGGAAAACCAAATCTTTAATAGTCCATTTCGCTTTCAATTTTTCCCTTTTTTCCATTCCATTTTTGTTCTTTCTTTTCATTCCAGATATTTACTTCTGTCACTGTTGTCTTTGTCAACATGCAGAGTTTCAATTTCTACTCGTCTCTCGAGTCTTGATGCTCATTAAATTTGCTTTTCAAATTTTTACTTCTGTTGATGTTTGTTACGAGCTTTTTTCTTATGTATTTGACATTTTCCTTGCTGACTGTCACAGTTGTACTTCAGATATAAGGGTCAAATAAGAGTTAATAAGATGAAATGTAAAAGGACCAGAATCAGTGTAGGTGTAGATTCATATGCTAGGTTACACAGGGAATGATTATGATAACATGGGAAATGGAGCATTTGATATGAGATGAAAAAAAGCAAAAAATGAATTTTGAATTTGAGCCTTTTTCTTGTCACTTCATTTACATCATTTTTATAAAACTTTTTTTTGATAAATTTTTTTCCGTTTCACATATGTTGACATTGAAACCTCAATTTTTTTTCTCAATCCAATTCTTTTTTTAAGTTCTTTCATCACTAGAACTGATCAAGTTTTATTCAATCAAATGAATAGATCTTATTATACAATAGAATTTTGAATTTTTCTAAACGTCCATGAAAAAGCTCAAAAGAATCAATCGATTCTTTTAAAAATTTCAGTCCAAATATTGTATTTTCAAATGAAATAAATTCGAATTTAACTTGGAACTCTCGATATTTTGGAATTTCAGTGTTGATAGAAATCCTTTCTTCGAAGTAAAAACTGAAAAAGAACTGGATCGAGTTTTCGCGACTGATTCAGTTTCATGAACATTTCTTATTCGAAATCAAATTGGAGCTCAATATTGAAAATTCTGTTTTCTCTATGAAACGATGTTTAACCGCAACCTTGTTAAGTCGCGAGTTCAACTTTGTCAGCATCTTTTTGTTATCTTGTAAGCCCAGGTTATCTAGAAACTCAAAAAAACCATTTTATTCCAAATTCAGCCTGTTAACCCCAAAATCGGAATAAATTTGTAAACTTTATTTGTTTTTGATTGATGAAAACAAAACCAAACACAAAAGCATTTCAATGTTGAAAAGTTTACCCAAAAGATTGAGAAAACTATTCATGTTTCAATTTGCGATTCTGATGAGAATGGAAATGTACTTTACATGTTGAATCGGAGGAAAGTTGAATTGCAAAATTTCTCTGAGCAATTTTCATTCCATTAGAGAATAAAAGTTCAATGTTAAATGCAAAATAAAACACTTTTGTCCAACTGAGAATTAGTGCTTTTCAAAATTCTAATCGAAAAAAAATATCCAAATTTCCATTTCTATTGAAAGTAAAAATTGATAAATTTATTCAAAGCAAAATTTCTCTCTTTATTCCAGGTTCTTCATGATCATATCGCTTATCGATATGAAATTCTCGAAATCATTGGTAAAGGATCTTTCGGCCAAGTAATCAAAGCGCTGGACCATAAAACAGGCGATCATGTTGCCCTCAAGATTATCCGAAACAAGAAAAGGCAAGTTTCACTTTTGAATGAATGACAGAAAAAAGGAAAAAAGTAAAGTTTTTTACTCGACACTTTCAAGTGCAATTGAACAGACTGAATGATTCAGGATTGTGAAGGTTGAATCAACGATGAAATGAGTGAAATTGATGACGCTTTGAACAGAATTTTGGCAAAATGTTCTTTCCATTAGAGAATCTATTTTTTGCCGAGAAAAGAGAAAAAAAGATGAAACAAAATGAGTCTAATAATTCACTTGATTAGTTGATTTTATTGGAGCAAAACTGTGCTCTAATGATTGTGCTAACAATAAAATTAGAGATTGATTTGTTTCTTTTTTTTGTGAAAAAAGGGTTGAGCCAATTTCATGGTATTTCGTGATAAATGAAAGTCTAGTTTACATCATAAATTGCAAGTTGAAAGGAACCAATTGAATAGCTAAAATTGAATCAAGATTGATTATTCATTGCTCATCAAGTCCCTTGAAAAAAGACTCGAAATCTATTTTAATATCTAAACATTTCTTGCAAAAATCCTTTTCAAACATTTTCCGTCTCGTCAACTTCGTATTTTGCAACAAGCATTTATCAAGATTATCAGGTAAAGCAAAAAGGGATGAAAAGAGTGACAGACTTCAAGTTCAAGATCAGAGACAAGAGTTGTACTCGACTTGGATCGAGTTTGTAAAGAGGAAGAAACAGATTGAAATTTGAAGGTAAACATTTCATCTCACTTGAATAGAGAAACATGTTGAAAAGCCAACAAAATTTACAGTGAAAAGAGAGGGAAAAAAGAATCACTTTTCGAGTTTTTTTATTTCTTCTTCTATTGAACAGATTAAATTGTGCCACAATGGAAATGAAAATAATGGAATGAAAAGAAGATAACAAGAAAAATTGAATTTCTACTCATTTATTGAATTCATTTTGTATGACAATCTCTAGAAAAAAACGTGATTTTCTGCCCAAATTGAGACTCAAACAACTTTTCTGTTTTCCTTCAACAGATTTCATCAACAGGCTTTGGTTGAGGTCAAAATTTTGGAACATTTGACGAAAAAAGATAAAGACGGCATTCACAATGTTATCCACATGTTTGATTACTTCTACTTCCGTAATCATCTCTGCATCACATTTGAACTTCTCGGGTAAGTCGAAGTTTATCGAACCATCAAAGTGATTACAGTTTTTGGGTTTTCTGAAGCCATTGGAAATACTTTACAAACCTTTTTCTCGTTTCATCAAAAGTCTATTTTTATCAACTTTTGTCTCGCATTTATTCAACCCTTGATATTACCACCTTTGCTCAACACATCTGCATCGATATCAACATTTGAAAATAATTACAGGTTGGAAAAGATTTCAAATGTTCGACTTCTTTTTTTTCTCATCTTTGTTTAGCTTCTTTCACTTTGGTCTTCATCTTTGTTTGCCGTTTAAATAAAGGTAAAGGTAACATTGAAATGAAAAAAACATGGAAACAAACATTTGACAGAAAAATGATTCTAACAAGGTGACTCCATGAAGTTGATCAATACAATTGATTGAATTTTCATTTCATTTCTTTTCTCTCTTTTTCTCTGTTTGTGTTGTATAAAGATATTAAAACGTGTAGTCATGGTGTAGTGATGATAGTGAATGGCTTGTTGGAGGAGTTGAATGATGATGAATAAAAAAGCCATTAGTGAAAAGTGATGATAAACAGAAGGATGGAAATGCTAAAAGGAAAGGAAAACAAAAAAGAAGTTTTTTTTTCGAGCAAAAAAATTCTCTTTTCAATAGAAGAGAAATGTTTGGAATCGAGAAAAAAGAGAATTTTTCATCATTTTCTTCATGAAATTTACTTTTCCTCTGATTTCAATTCAATGGTAAACTTTATGCTAAGCATTTTATTGAAATGAAGGTTGAGATGAAGCATTGAAAGTAGAAACTCGAGTTTTTTCAACTGAATAACTGGGAGTTGAACTGGGATTGATTTTGAAATTTTTGTGGTTAATTGGTGAATTAAGAAAACAAATTTTCCATTGTTTTGTCATTTGTCTAATTAGTTTGTTTCTCATGAATTTTTCTGGTGAATTTCTTTGGATTCTCTATATATTCAGACTAATTAGATTCTTTTCTGAATCTGGAACATTCTCGCGACATTTCAATCCTTGTTTTCAATCGTAATTTGTTAATTGAAACCTCAATATTCAGTAATGATTGGTTCATTGGTAACGAGTTCTGTTTTCAGTTGGAAAATATTGCAATTATTTTCTCTTTATTTTCAACTCGACTAATAAAAGTTGCAATTTATTGTTGCTATTTCATGACAAAATTTTAGTTTTTTATCTCAAGTTGATGAAGAGCTTTGAAAACTGGAACAAGATAATGCTAGAAGTAAACTAATCTTGACCCATTTTATGGTGAAAAAAAGCGATAAAAGATACGAATTAAATGATGATCATGATTAAGATGGGAAATAAATAAACTTGAATTTTTAGACAATCAATAAGACTGGGAAACAAGGTCAAAAATAAATTCAAGTTTTCGGTTTACCTACAATTGACATTCAGAAGCATTTGTTTATTTGATCATTTCTTGGTCAACCTGAACAGCCAGCTATTCAACTACAAAGACAATATTGTTTACTTGAAAAGCTTTTAGAAGCAAATGAAATTTCAACTCGAATGTGTTGCTTATTTATATTACTGTTTGTACTACTAAATTTGGTCGATATTGACCACAAAATGCTAAATAACAATCAATCTTTACTTCGATCAAGTAATAGGTTATTTCGTAAACTTGATCAATATTTAATGAATTGTTATCCAACGTATTATTCAAGAAGCAATGAATCATTGAATTAACTCATTTTTCAGAAAAAGTAAATTAATCAATTCTGTGAAATTGACTGTTAAACAATTTTAGTTTCATCTTTAGCCAAAGCAAAGTTTTCAGTTTTTTCATTGTTCAGATAAAATTGATTTCATTTTGTAAAAAAATCACATTGGATAGTTAATTGACTTGAAATTTTTGTCGAAAAGTTAGTTCTAAAAAAAGGAAAATCGTCAAAATCATTTGAAGCTAACAACATTTTGTGAAACTTGTTACTAGTGTGAGATGAACATTCAACAAAAGTTTTGTTTCCTTCAATTGTAACCATTTGACTTTGCAAGATTATGGCAACTCGTTAACCTGATCATTCTTCGTTAACTGAATTGAATTCAATCATGAATCAGATCTGCATTCACCTTTAGTCGTCATTCAGAGTATCAACAGTCAGAGATAATGCTCTTCATTGTTCATGTCAAACCTTTTGTTGCAATAATAATTCAAAAATAATCTGAAAATTTTAAAAAAACTTAACTTCGATTTAAGCAGTTAACTTTTCAGTATTTTCAGTTAAGTTGATGTTCATCTTTTACTGAAAAATCAATACAAGCCAAAGGATGAATTTTCATCTTTTCCTTGCTCAATAGCGATAATTATTTTTCCAACCTTTGCCTTTTTCAACTTAATCTTTGACATGTTTCCACCTTAACTGGCTCATGATGAAAAATTTATCCAAAATCATTTTGCAACCTTAATCTCTTGAGCATTTGAATGTCATTGTTTTTACCAGTTTACCAACTAACCTTGATCGAGAATTTTGTTGACCAAAAAAAAGGCCAACAAGGAATAATTTATTCATTCAACTTGAATAATTTACTTGGATAAAGTGATTAGAAAGAAGGTAAAAAAAGAGTAAAACCTTTGCCGAATTTGCTTTTCAATAATCTGGCAGTTCGATTGTCTTTTGTTTTCTCAATATTCATTGAGATGAAATTGGTTCATGATTAAGAGCACACTTTAACTCGACTTTGAATTATTAAAGTAAACAATTGATCAAGTTGAATTGCATGAGAAAAGTGAATAAAAAAAAGTTGAACGATTAAAGGGGAAAAAAAGGAATACGAAAAGAAAGAAGAGAAAAACGAACAACAGAAAATGGGAAAAATGGTAAAGAAAACGATTGTTGATATAATGGATCAATCGATGATTGGCCTTATTCTAATTTATCTTCCTTCATTTGTCATTCAGGGAAAGTCGAGAGATACGATGATGAGAATGAAAGTTATAACCATTAAGAACTAAATCATTATTTCAATGTCAGACTGATCATTGATTGTGAATTTGACTTTGAATTAAAGGTTTAATTTGTAAAAAGCAAAGAGACAGAAGAGACTAGAGAATGATGATGATGATGATGATTGGCACAAGTGAGGGAAGCTCTGAATAATGTTACTGAACAAGTCGAAGAATAAGAAGAAGAAAAGGAAAAAAAATTGAAAAGGGAAACAGGGAATGAAATCGTTGGAATGGATAAAGAAGATCAAAAGCCATTCCAAGGTTAACAGAGTATATTTATTATTCCAGTGTCAAGACTCAAGAAGGGAAAAAAAGTCGTCACATGAAGTTGGATACAAACTAGCCAAGTTAATGATTGCAGTAGAGAAGTGAATCAAAGAGAAGAGTCCAGTTCATGAACAATTTGTGATTATTAATGGCGAGTTTACAATTCAACTTTTCTATTCTACATTCATTTCTCTCTAATAACCACTAGAAATGGTCATTTTTCTGTCCAATTATTCAGCAAAGTTGAACGACTTCATCATGCATCTGAACACTGACCAAGCTTTTGTTAGGCTTTGATAATTATTCCAATGAAAAGAGAAATTTTTTCGTTTTTTTCTTTCCTTTATTTCACTCTCGTCACTCTTGAGTTGACTATCAAAGGCCATTGAGCTTTCGTCAGCCTTGAAATGGAATGGCAATGAAATTGAAAAAAATGACAATTTTTATTCTCTTTTTTTTCGGTTTACGTTTTGCACTTTTGCTCATTCAAATATTGATTCAATTTTTTATTTCATTCAATTTGATACAAAATGGGAAAATTTCAATTCTTTTTTTTTTGTTCGAGGTTCACTGACAGGGTGAAATGGCTAAATGATTAATTCAATGCTTTTCATCGACTTGGTTTGACCATCAAAAGGCAATCAAACTTTGGTTTGTCCATTCATTTTGGTTTAGAGCAACAAAAGGTCGACACTCTAATCAAAACTAATTATCATTTTTAGTCTGTCAATGTTTGTGTCTCCATTAGTCTCCGACAATTGTGAATAATTTAGCCATCAATTTGTTTCTCCAACAATATTTTCTGGTCAACATTAATTCAATTTACTGTGGCATTGCACCCAATCTCAATTTACATCAATCACTTTGATAATTAACACGTTAATCGACAATACAATTTATTGTGTTATTCATTGACAATTAATTTACATTTTTCGTTTTTCTCTTGTCCAACAGAATGAACCTGTACGAGTTGATCAAGAGACACAATTATCAAGGATTTTCAACCAATTTAATAAGAAAGTTTACTCATGCACTTGTTCAGTGTCTGAGTTTACTTTACCGAGAAAACATTATCCACTGTGATTTAAAGCCTGTAAGTAAATTAGCTCCAACGAACCTTTAATTTTCGAAGCAGCTTTTCAAAGTCAAAGCACGATTATCGATTTTTAGAATTTATCTGTAACGAAATTTCACAAATTCTTGAAATGGAAAAGGAAACTTTTTCTTTGCCACTCATCGATTTTCGAGTCACAAATGAAATCTATTTCTAAATTGAATCGACAAATAGCTGAGACTCGATCAATGGAAATTTTCAGTTCTATTCAAAGATTTTTCGATAAATTTGAAAAAATTCGAAAGATCGAAAATTTCTTCTTGGTGTTTTCTTGAAGATTAAACATGAATTTGTGAAGCAAAGATGAAATTGATTTTTTCCGCTGAAAAGTTGCGAATTAAAAGATTGCTTGAAATTATGCTTCTCTTGTAATTGTGACTTGAGCACTTAAACTCTTTACTCTTCTTCAGGAAAATATACTTTTACGAACGACCACTGGAGGCCCCATTAAAGTGATCGACTTTGGAAGCTCATGTTTCTCCCATCAACGGGTTTACACTTATATTCAATCACGATTTTATCGATCTCCTGAGGTAAGTTTTCCAAGCTATTTTATTCTCCTGCTTATCCAACAATCCTTTTCCAATATCGTAACATTAAACGAGGCAAAATCATCGAAAACAGAGTTTATTCTGTTTCACATTCCATTATCATTCGATACTTTTCCTTTGTAAAGAATTCAGAAAATGAAGAAGAATAATTTCAATGAGAAAAATGGACAAACTCTTTTTACCCTTTGAGCTTCTTACCTAAAGATCAATGAATTTGATGAAAAATTAAAAGAAATGAACTCAAAGTAGTTTTCAGTTGAGGCAAAGGTTTAATGGTTAACCTTAATTGATGTCACAAATGATTGATAAGTTGATGTGCTATTATCATAATTAATTTGCTTTTAAACAGCTTCAACACTTCGTCAACTAAAGCTTACCAAGTAATAAAAAAGGAAAGTTTGGAAAACAGAGAAAACAGAGAAAAAAACGTTTTCTCAGGAAACTTTTGTACTTCCACTTGAAGTGTCCACAGACAGGTTATTGCACTTTTCCTAACAAATTGTTCAATGTTTCCACCAAGAGTTCGTCACCCTTTTCATCATAACTTACATGGAAATATTCATTTCCTTCAACCCAGAAGAATAAAGAACAACATTGAAGGTTTTCCTTCAAAGAAGTGATGAAAATTGGCTTATTGAGACGCTTAAATTGGATAAATTTAAATTTTCTGTTTTCTAAACAAAGACACTTTTCCTTTTCAATTGGTTTTATTGTTGCCATCAACTGGGAGTGAAAATTGTTCAACAGAAACATTGTCCTTTGTCTTGACCTTTTCCAACTTGACTCTTCAATTGTTTTTACCTTTTGCTTTTTTCGAAAACAAATTTTACTAAAAAGTAGAAAAATTGTTGTAAATCGATTAATTGCTAATGGAAATGTTTCATTTCTCTGTAATTTAATAGTCTTGAGTTTGATACAAGTAATTGTCAAATGTTACATTAAAAAGTACAAGTAGACATAATGAGCCCAACAGTTGATTCCTGTTAATGGTTTTTGCACAAGAGTTTGTTCGTTTTCACCATTTAATAGCAAATGATGAGTTTTAGTATTCATTAGTCATTTCCATGTTAATGATGATCATGTTAATGGTTACATTTCTAGCTGAGAATGGGATTAATGAGAATAGAAATTTAATTTAAATCGAAAAAATGGATTTGGAAATAATTTTTACTCTCTTTTTTTGAACCATTCAAGGTCATCTTGGGCATGCCTTATGGAACTGCCATTGACATTTGGAGTCTTGGCTGTATCCTGGCTGAGCTGTTTACTGGTTATCCATTGTTTCCAGGAGAAAATGAAGCTGATCAATTAGCATGTATCATGGAGATTCTGGGCATTCCACCTTCTTCAGTATTGGAATCTGCTTCTCGAAGGCGACTATTTTTTGGTAAGAAATTTTCTGTTTATATTTACATTACACAAAATGGTGTTTAGTTTACATTGCTAAACAGCTTCCACTTGCTTTACATTGGCAGCAAAATGACAGAATTGGATTTCAAGTTCAAATGGCTAGAAATGCGATTCTTACCATTTCCTATTCACATTAAATCTTAACATTGATATATTGATGAGTTGTTTTTGTTTTACATTGTCAATTGAAATTTGATCGGGACAAAATTTGCTGAAAAAGGTTCCTTTGCTATAAATTTCATTCAATAAGTACCTTTGAATGTCACCCAAAACGAGAAAACAAAAAATTCTCAACTTTCTATTTCATTAGATTAATAAGCTTTGCATTACATCAATTACTTTTTTCCGTGATAACAATTTACTTGATGAAAGTTTATTATTGATAAACATACAGAGTACCAATTGAAAATGGCTTGGATTGAGAAGATGAAAATTCTTGAATAAGTCTCATTGACTTTCTTTGGCTTTGTTTTTGTCTTTGCGACCAAAGCTTGAAATGGCCAAATTATTCATGTAAAAACTTGAGCTAAGAGGCTACATCTGCATGATGATCATCTCAAGATAGTTAAATGAATTAGCAAAGGAAGAAGCTAAAGGAGTAAAAATACATTTCAACTTGACATGCTATTTGGAATAAACATGACATAAACTAGAACAAACAAATGATGTAACCCATGAAATTTTTCAATTGTTTTTACTCTTGTTTATCTTTTCAATTTCAAGCAATTATTAATCAAGAGGTTGATTCTGATGGAGCAATTTTTGGCCAAGTTGCAAAATAATGTTGAATGTAGGCGATCCAATTTCAACCTTTTAAGTGTAATTTTGATTAATACATGATGAATTTTATTTGTCTTTTCCTTCTTTCATTGCTTTTTCCTTTTGCTTTTTTTACCTTTACCTTTTCACTTCAAATTGGATATAAATTGACTTTATTTATAACTTTACTCTCTTTTTTAGCCAAATGTTCAGGGAATCAGGTTCAATTATTTAGATGGAAAATTTACTCCCAGTAAACAGGACAGAAAATTATTACTTTACATTAACGCTGTTGTTATCTGGATAATTGTTTTTAATCCACTTTCCGTCTGGGTGTGGGTTTGATACTTTACTTGTTTCGCTTTTCAACTGTTGAACATAACCTTTGGTAAGGTTCAGAAAGGTTCTAATGTTGTGTGAAAAACATTAGCTTGGAGCTTTTCATTTGAGTGTAAAACGCTTTTCCATATTTGCTTGATTACTTGATGTAGTATTATCCAATTGAATGGTCAGAATTGAATTTTTTACTTCACTTTAGTTTGCTCCATCCCACTGTATTTAGTCAATTTAACCACCATCCTGAATCATCATGAGCTTATCTTTAATCGAGTAGATTAGTTGCGTGAAATTGCTTGAAATTGATGAGAAAACAAAAGTTAATCTCGTGAACAATTTGTTGAATTCCCAATATACTTTTAGGTTACATTTTTCCATTCCTTTCCATTCAGTTGACTTCTTATGACTCGATTGGTTAAGTATTGAACAGTCTTCAACATGACTTGATTGATCACAATTTACTTTAATAGAAATCCAGTGATTTAATGTTATGGCCGCGAACGCAGTCTTTTTTGGCTTTCCTTGGTTAATAGTCTAATTAAAGTCGCTTTCTTGGATTTTTCCCTTTAGATAAATAAATATATACACAGATATAAATTTTAGCTTGAATGTTGGATAAATAAATAAATGAGTTAAGTAAATTGCTCTACTTACAAATGGTATTATCAAAAGTAAATGCAGCTGAAGATTTTGATGTATTCTGTTTTCGTCAGCTATTTTATTTTGGCAATCTCTGTGTGATGATTATGTGATGCTGGTTGGTGGTAATGTGTATAGATGGCAAGTGTAAAGAGGTAAGGAAAAAGTTGAGGAAGCTAAAGTAGAGAAAAATTGATTAATTGAAGCAACTGTATTTCCATGCGAATCGCTTCAAGATTGTTGTAACCATCTTTTTCCAACAGAATGATTTAAAGTCAACCAGAGTGATTTATAAATCAAATGATCATCACATTTTGATTACTTGACGAGAAACTTAGTTAAGATTTTAATTCAACCAATATAACTGGAATTGCTAAGTCGCTCTTTTTTTGTCAGTTACTTTACAAAACCGTACAAGATAAACCAGTCAATCAGTTAATTGGATTTGTGTCATTTATTGGCTTTTCCATTCTTTCTTAATTCTTTTCCACTTCTTTCCTTTACAGTTTCATAAACCACCAGTTGATGAAATGATTAGGGTTTCTGGTTAGGACCATTAGGATAAACAGGTTCAGATGATGAGATCCAATAAGCAAAGATTAAATTAATCTTTTACTTTTTCCATTGACATTTCAATTTTCTCCTTTTCCAGTTTAAAGCCTAATTTAGTTATAAGTTATCCGGCTAAACAGTTAATAACACAATTGTTGAAAGACTCCATTTAATCTTTCCAGTTTTATTGTCACATTTAAGATTGCAAGTCGTCAAGTTGTAATCCATAATATTCGGATGAGTAATCAATTTGGCCCTTAATCTCTCTTAAATCAATCATAAACACACTTGTAAAGCTGTCAAAACAAAAAGAAAGTGTTCAACCATGAAAAAGTGATAAGAACTAATTCACTGAAAAAAGTCAATTAAAACGGAATAAAAATTGGGTTAAATTGACTACAGATGATAACTTAATGAAGTTTTTTCTCTTCGCCATCTATTATTTGGGTTTTTAACTATAGCTTCACGTTTACTTTTGACCCACAAGATGGCATTAGTTGAAAATTGTGAACACCAATAAACATGTTCAATAATTTCATTCCTTTATCAGAATCAGCTATTCGTTGGTGATTAATCAATATTATACAACGAAGCTAGTCATTTTATAAGAAAATAGTCAAAATCACAGCCATGAATTCTGTCTACTTGTTCGAACTCATTGGAGCAAAATGTTCGTCTATTGAAAATTATAATCTTTGTAATCCGTTTGTCTCACGATTGACTGGTTGACTTGAACCACTAGCTTTGATGCCTATCAACATGTCAACCGTTAATAGTTTTTGTAATGTTTATTAATCTTTGTAAATTGTACAAAATCTCACCTTGTTATTGAGACATTTTTGTGTTCTGGAAATGGTAAGCTTTTGAAAAGCTATAATAACTGTAATTACCGTTACTATTTTCTCTGTAACTGTTTAACTTGACTCAATTTATGCAATTTGTTAATTTATGTTTTATTGTCTATTTATCTTTAGATTCTCGTGGTAATCCAAGGAATATAACCAATAGTCGAGGAAAAAAGCGCAAACCTGGCTCAAAGCCACTTAGTCAAGCACTTAAATGTACCAATGATGATTTTGTTGATTTTTTAAGTCGTTGCTTAGAGTAAGTAGTATTGTGATTATCTGTTTGTCTGGGTTTCTCGAGTTTTATATTTAAAATTATTGTTTTTTTTCATTCACAGTTGGAGCCCACATCATAGGATCACACCTGATGAAGCATTGAAACATCCATGGTTGACTATGTCTCAGAAAAATGAAAAACAAATATCAAATCAAGTTAATCAAGTTAATCAAGTTAATCAAGTAAACAATTCAGATAATCGTCGGAGTGCCATTAAACCCATCCAAAGTGTCACTTGTCGAGAAACTGAAACAGGTAAATATTCATCTTCTAATATCTTAGTTGGTAATTAGATTTATAAATAATCTTTATTAATTTTACTTTTTCTCGTTCCTTGCAGAACCCCTATCAACATCAACTGTTTACAGATTTTTCAAAAACAATAAAAACAGTGCCTCTAAAGTAACCCGAAAAGATTGTTCATCGGGTATAGGATCAAGTTTAACCAAAGCGTCATCAGATGAATCTCGTAAGTTGGTCGAAAAGATTCTGCTGATGTATTGATTTAGGTTCAATTTGACCAACATCCAGGCATTAAACGATCCTACAGACAAATCCAATTATCTGAATAGGTTCATGCTTCAAGATTAAGCTCAAGATTGTTTTTTTTTGTTTTGTGAATCAAGTTTTTTTCAATTCAAGTTCATAGTCAAGCAGCCATGATCCATCACCAAGAATAATTTGACTCAAAAAAGATTGGAATTTGAAATTGAGAGCTGATTTTTTTTCTGTGCAAATGTTTATTGAGTTGACAATTTTAGGTGTCGAACCAACCTAAATCAACTTATTCATTTTATATCAAAGAATATAAATTAATTTGAAACAAACATTATGCATATTCATGAAAATTAAGATTGCTTTTCTTATCTTTTATCTCAACTGCTTACCATGGAAATCAAAATTGCAGTTAATATCAAGTCCATTGTTGAATCAGCAAACCGAACCATTGACACATCATCCATGACTCGTTCCAGCAATGAAGGTCTCACCGATTCTGGAACTTTTTTACCACCCATATTATAAAGACTAACGCCATGATTAAGAGGTTTATATTTTATACCTTGCTTTTATTTCTGTTTTTGCTGTTGCCATTGTCAGTGGATCCAATTCATCTTTGGTAAAAAAAGAATCCAAATCAAGATTAAAGACTCGAGTCACCCATAGAATCAAAGAGTTACCAGTTTAGACAACTGAATTATTCAACCAAGCGGCAAAATAATGATCAAATCCTGTGCGCTCTTAAAACTGCTGAACCAAAAGCCAACCACTCTCATCATGATAACTCAAAAGCCTAAATAAATCAACTAAACCAATCATCACAATTGTAATTTGAAAGAAAACAAAAAACTGGATCCTGGAAAAGGAGACGAATTTCATCTGAAGCGCTCTAAAGTCGAACAAAAAAGCAGCGAAAAAAGTGAACCAACAATCAGCATTAAACAAAAGAACAAAATCGCAGAAAAAAACGAATCAAAAGAAATATATTGTAATTGATACAACAAACTACAAATATCCAATCGTCAAATTATGTGACATTCAATTCTATTTGTTGTTAAAATTGTTATTTTACAATCAAATTAAAATGTTGCCCTTTTCTCATTTCACTTTCAAACAGACTTGAGTATGTCCAAATATCAAGCCTTGAATTGACGAGAATCGCGATCATTTAAAGTGAAAATAAATTTTAAAACGCAGTTGAGTTGAAAAATGAAGGTGAAATTTTATGTTCAATAGTTTTTATCATAAAGATGTTAAAGAGGTTAATCCGGTTATAGTTAATTACAGTGGATAAAATTTACACAAAAAAGTGGTTCTTCAGTTTGAAGCTTACAGGCTTTCAGTCCAAATCCAGTCTTACAGTCCATGTAAAGTCCACAATTGTCTTGAGATGATAATGTTAGCATTTAATGTCATTGGTCAATGATGGGAACATTTCAACGAACATTAACATATAAATAACATTTGAAAAGTATCATTATATATTTATAATTATATAACAAGATTCAATCGAGTGTCGAGTTAATCATTTTCTCGCTAAACAGCGTTTACAGATTTAGATGGTTACATTGACACCGACTAGTGAATGTCCAATGATTGAATAATTACAAACAAGATGTTATTACAACAACTAAACTTTCATTAGTAATTTCATTTTTTTCATTACAATTGTTGAATAATGATAAACATTGTACAATAAGACAAACTTTACAATCTTTGTAAGCGGCGAAATTTTCATTTCTGTTAAAGTGGATGTCAAGTGTCAATATCCAGTGATTTGTATAACAATGTCAGTTTTCAAATTTACATGAGCAGTTAGAAAAAAGAAGAAAAAAAAGAAAAAGAAAATGAAATTCATTTTCTTTAGCTAAAGCTGACGTTCTTTAGCTAAATTTTAGGCCAAGTTGAGGAATAGATAGAAATGAACCTTTTATTGGATGATTGGTTAATTACCAAATATCATTTGATTGTGACCAGTGTGAATGAATGAAGGATGATCATGATGATGGGAATGAGTAAAGCTCGCAGTAAATAATGTTAAGGAAAAGTCAAGAAACACTTGTCAAGAAGAAGAAGCATTTTTTGAAGAAAGGCTTTTTGTCGTGAAATTGGATTTTCTCATTATTTAGCTTCTATTTTCATAAATTAACATCAACAATTGATTGATTCTCATAATTAATTGTTGAATAGAGGTTTTTGTTTGGTCCGTATTTTTGGTGATCCACTTGTTTCTCCCATCACTTTTGGGTTGACATTAAACTTTTCCTCTTCTTCTGGTGAATGCTTCAATAAACTGTCAAAACTCTTTACTCTGCCAATCTCATTGTAATGCTATTAATACAATCAACAAATGAAATGTTATTCAGCATCAATTAAACCATAAAGCCAACTGCAACTTTTCCTCTTTTCCATTCAAATTCTCACCATGACTACCATGCATCAGCTTGTATACATCAACAATTTTGAAAACCATCTTTTACTCTCATGTCCAAGATAATTATGAAAAATCTATTTTTCTTCTCTTCTTTTTTGTTCCATGGCAGATATTAAAATCCATGGAAACCAATTGCAATTCTGAATCTCATTATTCTTCTTCTTCAATTGTTGTTGCATCTTCTTTTTGACTCCATATTTTGACCCTCATTGATTGGTCAACATTTTCACATCAGTTAACATTTGACTTTCTCAAACAATCTCGACCAATTGACATGATCCAATATATTTTGTTGATTATCTGGAAAACGATAAAAAAAGTCCATTTACAACAGGTAACCAAAGGATAACACAACAACTAGTAAAGGAACCAAATTCAACAGTAAAACTGTATCAGTACAACAAATTTTTCTTCTTTTCGTTAACAATGAACAAAAGATGGAAACAAAATATCAAAAAGAGAAGAAACAGAAACATAAAAGAATTGGAAAAAAAGAGGGAAAAAAATATCAATTAGCTGGGAGTGAATTGTTTCAATGGTAACAATGTGAACAGTTTTTGTCTTGTTTTCACGTTCATTAATCCAATGTTAATTGTGATGCATTTTCCAGCTTCTGCTTTTCTTGTCATCCTTATTAATCTCATTAACTGGTGTTGTTGTGCTCTGCTCACTCCTCATTAGCTTTATCATGGCTTTGATTTGTCACTCTTTGCCTTTTCACTCTTGCCTCCAACTGTGACTCTTGCCTTTAACCTAAACCAGTCGACTGTTCTCGGTTTACTGTTAAGACTCTTCGTCGGCCCCAGGCTCAAGGATACTGCTTATGTGTAAAAAGATGATCCAATACATTAGGTTGAAGCAAACAAAACAAACGGGAAAAACAACTCGTGAATATTTGTCAATATCACTTGGACTGACACCGAAAAGGTTGTTCAAATTTTTGGGAGGCACCGCGGTAAACCGGTGAAGATTGGTAGTAAAATGCCCTGGAATTCTTCCTATGGACGATGATGATAGGCCGCCAGGTTGATGGTGGTTAACACCATCCATGGAGCCTGATGTTTGAGCAACTGGGGTCATCTTTGATCCCACCATTTCAAGTCGAACCTCCTGTTGAAAGAATGTTATAAAAAAAGATTGCATTAGACAACAATAGACTTTTGTTGAAAATTTTCATTTCCATTTCCAAATCAAATTTGACACTTTTCTTGCATTTCAACCCAAAAAAGATGACAGCTCAGAATGGAATTTCAATCAATTTTTTAGAATCTAGTTTAAAACTCAAATCTCGAGCAACTTGCATCTCGAATCATGAATATTAAAGAAAACTTTCATTTGGAAATATTTTGACCAATGCCTTGTTTCAAATGAAATTGCTGGAGAAATTAATTTCAAGAGTTTTATGGTTCAAGATTGGTGGCTAATTAGGTTCACATCTATTCTACTACCATGTCATTTTCAACAAATGAATCAAGATTGATAGTGAAAAAGTGGAAGAAAAAAATAATAGAAGCAAAAGAAAGAAATAAAGTTGGTAAAGGAATGAGAAAAAAAGTAAAAGTTATTCAGTGATTCAATGTGATTCTTAGTGATTTATGTTTCCCATTGAACCCTGTTATTTGATTCATTTAGGTGATAAGATTTTTTTTCGAATGAAAATATAAAATTCTCCTCTTAACCTATTCATTTGAACATAAATATTTATCAAATGATCAATGAAAATGGAATGAGAAAATAAAAGCGAAAATTGGTTCAAGATGAGAAACAAGAATATCCAATTGCACATTGCATGACAATGATAATGATAAGTTGAGTTACGATAAGTGAACAAGAGCAAATGAATTGAAATCAACCAAAGCGATCAACAAATTTGTCAATCGACTTTTAATCAAACAATTTAAAGTAACTTTCAATACACTTTTGTTGTCTTCGTTATAGTGAAAAAAAGTTTGTCCAAAAACTCGAACTCGACAATTTTCATTTCATTATTTGGATCATTATTGTGACTCGAAATTGACTTTATCTTGAACATGAGTTGACTCTTTCTTCGAACTGTTTCTTCAAGTGAAAATTTCTGGTTTTACCAGAACAAAGAGTTGACTTGAAAAAGTTGACTTTTGATTAACTTCCATGATCAACTCCGAGTTTGATAAAATTCATGAGATTATTTTGCATTAATATCGTGACCAATTGACTTTCATGTAAAGTTTGTTGGGATTCACTCGTTTTCCTTTCCATTATTATTGAGGATTAGAAATGAAATAAAAAAGTTGATACAAATAAATAATCTGTATTAGCATAAAAGCATAATCTGGTAATAAGTAAACTCTTATCCTAATAAAATAGCATTTACAGTAAAAACACTGGAAAACATTTTTCATTTGAAACATCATCAGTAAGAGATTCAACCTTTCAACTTCGCAACCTTTTAAGCCTTTTTGACGCTCAATTTTAATCTCATAATTTAACATAAATTCATCTCGAAAAGGTTTGCAAGTCTAAAAAATGTGACTTGAATCGAAAAATTAAATGTTGAGAAATTTAAATGTCAAGCTTGATTTAGTCGAGCTGAGTCCAACTAGAGTCCGAGAAACGGATACATTTCAAGAAACCATTCTGAATAGAAGAAGATTTTTCGAAATCGAACGAACCTTTTTTGTCCCTCAAAAAGATTGCTAAACATTCTTGCAGATGCTAAGGATAAATGAAACTGTTTTTGATTTTTTAAGTTGGAAATGTCTTTCAGTTTGAAAACAGAATTATGATGAAACTCACTGCTCAACAGCTGACGAATGTAACTTTTTACTCGAACTCTTTTTTTGTTGCATTAATTGCGGAAACTAAGTAATGAAAATTTTAAAAATTGCTGATGAAAAGTGTCAATCTTGTCATTGCAAGAGTTTTACTTTGAAATTTTCTCAAGAAAAATGTTGCTTTAGAAAAGGAAAAAAAGTTGAAAAGAATTGAGAAAGCTGATGATGGAATAAACTTGCAATAATTTATAAAAAAGATGAATATTTTAATGAGAAGGAAATTGTCGATATTGTTCATCGATAAATGAAGCGACGAAAACGGAAAAGAGGAAAAGTATAAAGTCGTCAATTTTCAGGGTAATGTGTCAATAGTGGATAATGATGAGACCAAAAACACTTTTATCTCACCATCTACAGCCTTTTATTAATGCATTAATGTTCAACTTTGTATAGACTTTGTTTCACTTTTGAAAAATGTTCAACTTCCAAGTCTTTAAATGTCTCTTTTAGCAACCTTTTGCTTTCCTTAACGTCAAGTTTGATGGTCAACCAGCAACCTTGCATCAAAGCAAGTTTACATTTCAACCAACAGTGAGAAAAATTAGAAGATTCACCGTTCTGACCAGACAAGCATGCCCATGTCATTTGAAAAGCTATTAATAATCTTTTTCAACTTTTCCCTGAAATTCAAAGTGAAAAGAAGAGAAAGGCAAAGAAAAGAAAATCAACTTTTCCGTCATTTATGATTACTTTACAATCGGTTGGACTCTATTTTACTTCATTATAAACATTCTTTAGTTTTCAATCTTATTGATACAAAAATATCTGTTGACTTTATCATTGAATGTATCGAGAAAAATTGACATTCGACATGAAAAGAGAAGCAACTTTTTCGACTTTCAATTGTTAACTTTTCAATGTCATTATTGCGCTAATTTATCGAAGTAAAAAAATGTTTGAAAAGTTTATCCTTTTCTCTGTTAATTTTTATCGAGCAAGAAAAAAATGTTTTCTTCTTGCCATTCATGTTAACCATTCAGTATTTACATTGAAAAATTGAAAAGTTTAAACAGCTATTCAATTGGATTGGAAGAAAAAATGTTCAATGCATAAAGGTGTGAAAAGCTTTTCTATTTACTTTGTTTTTCTATTGATTTTTTTGTTGAGTTTCAATTTTCTCTTTTCTTTACCCTTTCAAATCAGGTTAACTGAATTTTGGTGAAGAAAAAAACAGTAGAAAGAGAGACAGAGAGAGAGAAGAGGAATATTATCTGATCAAGAAATAATTGAACCAAAACTAGTTTGAAATAATAGTTACAGATGACAAAGTTTAACTGATCAATGGCAAGATTGAAGTGAAAGGTGAACAAGGCAAGGAGAAGATAAAATGTTGAATCAAATAAAGGTTCACTTTATTAACTTTTCAATGATATTGTTTGAAATGAAATAGTTGGAAAACATTAACTGTTGATTGAACAAATTTTTTCTCTCGAATGTGCCTTTTCCAGCAAACATATTGGACATTCATAACGAAAACCTGACAACCAAAAATTTCACTGACCAAAGAGAAACTCAAAGATTGATACAAAAAAATTTCGACTTCAACTTGTAGATTCAAAGGGCAGAGAGTAAGTTATGAAAAAGAAAAAATGATTCTTCTTTGTTTGTAAATTGAAATGAAACAATCATCTCAGATGGAATGAAATTGAAAATAATTTTGATCTGAAAACTTATGTTGACACGAATTTAGGATCGCAACAAGAAACTAATCGGAAGACTCACGTTTCAACGAGTGCCGAGTATTGCAATTGAATAATTTCGAGTTAAACATTTTTCGTTGGACAAACAGTTACAAGTATTTGAGTGGTGAACAAACAGTAAAATTGAATAGGAAATGAGTAAACATTGAGAGGCAAAATTATACTCGAGCAATGAAAATTTGATTCTAGTGTGACTTTTATTCAGTGGTGAAAGGCAAAAGTCAATCATCATCACCAAGGTTCAATCAAGTTAAAATTACGATTAACTAGATTATCTTTGTCTTTTCGTTCTCTTCATTGTTCGACTTTTGTTGCCTTTTTTTCAAACAAAATGTATTATTTTTCCTTTTGTTTCGTTTCTTAGCACAAAGAAGAGAAAAACAAAACTCGAATGAATCACGAAAATTGCGATCCACTTGAATTGATCATTAATATTTTTTCTTCTTTCTTCCCTTTCCACTCTTGTAGCGGCTAGATTCATAATTGAATAAGTAAAACAATGAAAAGTAATCATTCATGATGAATTTTCAACACTTGACTTTGTTCAAGAGCTTCAATGGTCAAATGATTGGCACTTGATTGGCAAAAACAAAAAGTGACCAAAATTTACTTGCAATAATTGAACTCGTCATTGAAGTTAAAGTGATAATTTGATAGCAACATTTAACAAGATTATTTGCATTTGCCTTCTCAACGAAAAGGGCAAATCAAGAGTTGATATCATTTGATATTCCTAGTCTATTATTAGCCTTGTGTCTTGGAAAAGATAAATTGTGATAAAATTGCTGGGAGTACTTTTTACCTCCCTGTAAGTTTACTCCTAATGTATAATAGTTTCAACATTTTTACTGGACTTTTGATCATCATTAAGATAATCATTATCTTTATCAACATCATAATAATCATCATTACCAAAAAACATTGGTATTCTCATGATTTTTTCTTCTTTTCTCAAAATGTTCACATTATCCTTGTATTACATGGTAAAAAAAGAAACACACAAAATTCTGGGTTAAACTGGGAAGGAAAAGAGAGAGAGAGAGAACAAGAAATGCTATAAGTTTATGATGTGTAACTTGAGAGGGTAAATTTTGTGTGTTTACTGGTCATGATGATAATAATACTTGGTGCTTACATGAAAGAAAAATGGAAAATTGAGAGAAAAAAATGGGAAACAAGAAAATGAAATAACAGGAATAAAATAATAGTTATAACTTGTACGTGGTAATGTGTCTTTATAGTCATGATAATATCTTCGTCTTTTCCCATTTTCCTGCTTTTTTCACTCTTCTTCTTACTGCATTTCATTGCAATGTAATGTTGTGAAACTCTGGCAGAATTGAGATTTACTCGAGATCAACATTAAGAGCAACAGTGCGAAGGCAGTCTTGATAAACAAGAAATAAATGAATATTAACATTATTCAACCAAAGGTTGGAAAAGAGTTGAGTTTTTTTCTTTTCTTTTTTTCAACCTTAAGTGTTGAGAAGCACAAAAAGATATGAAAAAGATTTACTCGCTTCTTTTGCTAACCCACTTTGGATAATTTGGTAATATTTGCTGTCACCGTTCTTGTCCTACCATTCGTTCATTGTCG